TTAAACCTCCATGGTGTGGAATGTCTCTGACTCACTGGCTTAGCAACACTCATACACAACACACACACACACACACAAACACGCTCTCAAACAGGGTCATAAGTGCTTTTTTTTTTTTTTTTGTCTTTTTCCATTTTAAATCTGTGAGTCTCACTGAGTCTCTAAGTGTCTGCTCTACTGAGGCTGCACTACTGATCACTTAACTAGTAGTAGTCCACACACAAGTTAAGTGTACAATTTAATCGGGTTGCTCTACAAGCCTTATGAAGTTGTGTTGTACAGTTTTATAACAACAGTGACTAAGCAACAGGATTTAATGTGGACTGATCTGTGTCATTGGTGATGTCAACATCAGCACCGACACAAATCCAGTATATTATGTCACTGCATCATTGCTATAGTCTAATCCCGATTGTAGGTGGAAGTAAACAAGTCATAATTACTGTGGCTGTATCCCACTTGTAACACTTTTTAATTGCCCTTGCAAATAAAAATGTCCAGGAAACCCTTAAAAACCTGTTACATGGTGATGATTTAGTCATCTACGTCTCTATCCAGCTGCTCCAACACATAAACCTAAACAAGCCTCTGCTTCATGAAATCGATTTTTATTCAACTCTTAAACCACACATGTTGACAAAGGACAGACAGGGGACAGCTAAATACCAAGCAGGCTATTTCTCATAGGCCACTTTCAACTGTCAATCAATCCAAACGTCTCTGCTTTCACTATCAGCAAAATGCGTCATGAAAGAGCACAACACATAAATCACCCGGCAGATTGGTCTATTGTACAAAATTAAAGTAAAGCAGTCTCATTTTAGGGGTGACCTTGGTTTGTCAATCATTCCATTCCATTTTATTTAACATGGGGACACCACTACACAGAGCAATAAATGAAAACCACCATTATGTGTGTTAGTAAGGTGTAGTTCCACCTCGAGCCTTCACAAAAGCTTCAGTGCTCTTTTTTCATAGATTCTCCAAGTGTGTGGAACTCTGCTGGAGGGATGTGAAAAACACCCATCGCAAGTTTCCCACAGCCCAAAGTCACGTCTTCAAATCCAACCAACAGTCCAAATCCCACAGACTCTTTATTTACTGTCATAAAAGCAAACAGCAAATCCCTAAACCTAAACTTCCAAAATGGAACTTTTGCTGGAAAAACCACTGAAATACTGATAAATTATTAAAATAGCTGGCAATTAATTTTCTTTCGTTCAACTATCATTGCAGCTCTAATGCATCTGCATTCAGTATTTCTCTACATTCATTTTTTAACATTTTTCCTTTGTGTGTGAGTCTATTATAACAAGCAACATGTGGTCACACAACCAGATATGGCAAACAATTCCACAGTGTCCATCACAGATATAAGATCTATTACAAATTCACAAGATACAACATAAAGGGAGACACACTCGCCTCACCCTTTTGTGGCCATTGTGCCCTAACCATCCAATCAAAAAACATCTGAAAAGATCTGCCAAAATACCTGACAGTTATTATCACCGTTTGAATTTTGAAATATCATTAAAACCGTGTTCAATTACCACACATTAAAAAACTCACGGTAAATACTGTTTAGCATCAACCAAAGTTAGCACCAGTCTCCCAGGCACAGAATGCAAGGTTAACGTTAATGAAAACATGGTGGAAGACAGTGACAGCTACGTAGTTTAGTCATCCAACCAACATATTTTGTTCAGTTAAAATCCAGCAGCGGTCAAATTGGTTGTAATTGTTTTAATAGGAGAAACGTTGCAGGCTCCTGTACAAGACTCCTCTGTGTTTAGGTCATTTGGGCTCAGTGCAGTTACTATCACTGCCTTCTTAAGAATCATTTGTATTTATGTAAATTGTGCATATCCTTTAAATGCATATTTGATATGGCTAATTCACATAAAATAACTCTACAGTGGAGTCACACAATGAGGCTGTGAACAGGAGAGTGCTCTCTGCAGTACAGATGAAAAACTAAATGGGATTTTCAGTTGGGTTAATGCATTGATGGCTCAGCAATGAACACAGCAGTTCTAATTACTTTGTTAGACTACTTAAGAAACATTGTCTTTTTTCTTTCTTCTTACAGTTGAAGATCCCCTGACTTCATTGTGTCCCTCTCATTTCCAAACCTTTGCCCTTGGGACCAAGGACCCCAATGTCTCCTAAGTTCACCGTGCTCCCTCCTATATGGCAAACAGTTCTGATTCATTCATTGTTCACATTTAAGATCACAACTTTGAAGTACCCTTACAACTCTACAGGCTTGGTGATGCTCGATGCTCTCCTGGCCCCATTTGTTGTACCTTTAAAAGCCTGATAGATCACGCTTCCAGCTGAGTTATCTGGTTAAATACACAGCGAGTGTGGAAACAAAACCACTGATGCATACAACTGTTTATGGAGTGACATTTGCAAATTGCATGCTGGGATGAGTTCTAGCCCCACAATCACAAGTAACACAAGTCACACTGCAGTACATTATGGGACGGCTTCATTGGAAATATGTGTGTGTGTGTGTGTGTGTGTGTGTGTGTGTGTGTGTATGGCACTGTTTTGGCAGAGTTATTGTCATGTTTCACTTCCTTTGACTCAGTAAAGACTCATGTGAACCGTTGGCAGAAACAATGCAAGTTGTAACTAGTGACATCCTGTCAGGAGACCCGCACGCAAACAGACACAAACACATACACACACAGACACACTCGCTCTCTTTGCTTCTCTCTCTCTATCACCCACACACACACACAAGCCAGCTATCTTTGGGCTTAACACAAGCTTGCCGGAATCACAAAGCTGGCATACTTTTACCCATGCGGCGTTGCTGCACAGCTAACCTGCTCCAGAGCCACCTACAGAATCCATGAATTGAATCAGCCTGGCTACAGACCAGTGAAATCACTGGACAATATTGTCTTCATTTCTGCAGGAGGTGTTATTAAGTTACAGAGCACTTATAAAAGGCTTCTGTAGCAGAAACATTTCAAACATGACTTCTAACATCTGAAATAAAGGTGACCACATTTACTCCCAACAGGATTCTTGATGATTCATACGCAGCTGTTATTCCACAGTCAATACATGGAAAACTGACAAAGCTAAAGCTGTCACACTGAGAATAGGGGTATGCAATTAATTAAATTTTGGCTATAAAGGCAAGATAATCGAGATCAAATGGTTATTGTGCCGCATTCTGTTTTGCAATGATGCTCTGTTTTATCTTATAATCAAGTGCACCCCTTTCCCTAAAAGCCCAAACTCATACTCAGGCAGGCTGTGTCAAGTTCAGCTCGAGCCAATATGACACTTTCTGTGTGAACAAAGCGGTACCTCCGGGTGTGAAAAGTGAAGCCAATGAGGAAGTGCCTTAAACCTGCACAAAAAGAAGTCCAATTGCTGTGGCCTTAATGGTGAAATGAGCTTACTTCTCACCTGATTTATTCACTCAATAAACACTTTTCTAATGAGCTTATAGTCTCAATGGTTAGTTTAAAGTCTTCTTCAACACAGCATGATGTTCATTTGGTAAATTATGATCCCATTTAGAGGAAAATAGACGATTAAGCAGGGTATATTTTAGGGCGTGGCAATCTTGTGAATAACAAGTTGCTACCATGGCTACCTGTCAATCAGGATAGAGGTGACTTGTATCCACTGCACTGCATACATTTGACCAGCGCTATTGAAAAAGCTTATTAGGAGCCAGCTGCTTATTAGCATCCCAGTTTATAACACTAAGGTGCATTACGGATGCAACGTGGTAACCAAGCTGGCTAGCTCCACCCTCTCGTGCAAATATGGTCACATCTGGTTCCAAAAAAACAAGATGCCAAACTCAAGGCTTCAAAACAGTAGTCCACAAACCAATTGGTCCTACATCCACTTGTCTTAGCCATTCTGTGGAGTGTATTAACACACAGTAAAGCTGCGGCAGGGTCAGCCACGCTGCCCATTTGTCCTAGTGGCAAGCTGACTCCAAGGAAGTAATCCCTGAATCCTAGAAAGTGTTTTCCTGATGGACCACCATAATCATTTATAAAAGACACCTCAAATTTAACACAAGGTCAATTATTGCCTTTATTGACATGTTCTCACTTCTAATTCTAGTGTGACTGCACCTTTCAGATGTCAAAGGGAGCGAAACAATAGTTAAATGAGCTTGGCTGAGATGATGATGTTCTTGTTGACACAACTTAAAGCTCAGAATACCACAAAATAGGCCAATGACTTATTGTCACAGGGTGCACCCTGTCCGTGCATAAAGCAACATTTTGTGCACCAGACACACAACTTAAAAACAGTTTCCGTTTATATCAAAACAGACAAGTTCCTGCCGTGCCTACATATTAACTAGTAACGTCAACTTAAGAAGTTTCACATCGTGGCACGGTTCGCATTCACTTTTGGCATGAGTACGCACAAAGTCGACCCCGCCGAACCTCTCTAAAATATGAGCCAGTTTAAGATTTTTCTGTTTATCAGCTAACGCGCACAACAAGTAGGAAATAACTTGTGGCTTGTTGAATGGGTTTGGTGTGCTAGTTCATTCGGCTAACACTGCCACCCCAGAGCACTGATGACTCGTCATTTTACACCCATTCCCACTATCGCGTTTCACAACAACTTTAACACCTCGGACGGCGACCACAACCACCCACTCCAAACCGGGCTGAGATTTTAATTTAAAAACACAAAGTTAGCTAACAGGTCTCCGAGTCCCCCATGTCGCCTACATGTGCTGGTAGTGAGCAGTTATCCCGTATCATTTGCAGTCACGTTGTCCCGACTCGTATCACAGTAAGCACACGCCAAAAAAAGTTGATACGAACTTTCTACACTTTTCCCTCCAGCTGCCTGGGTAGTTCCCTTCCAGTACGTTACGTTAGGAGTTTCGGCGCTCAAGTCAACATAGATAGAAGCTGATAACGTAGATAGTTGGTAAATGTAAAGATTTGTTGTCATCGTTACAGTTCATTTTATTAAAACACAAAAGTTACCTGTTAACAGCACAGTGGGCAGCAGAAAGCTGTAGAACAGCCAGACAACCACCTGAAGATCCATGTCAGCGCGGACGATTACTCACTCCTGATCGTCAACAACAATAGCCAGTAGATCAATAACTACCATTGATCAGGGCAGAAACGGGTTCGCTAACTTAAAAGGTTCCATCGGGGTTGATTGATTAAATGTGACAGAGGAATGAATAGGCCATTACTCCGATATTCGCACATGATCTCCCATCAAAAAGAAGGGGGGAAAAAAACTTTAGTGGAAAGTCTTCAAGTCCAAACAAAAGTTTCCACTGAGTCGATTGTATTGATCGTGTGTGTTCACAGCGCTCGGCAGCAGATCGGCCCGTCTCGGTGATTTTATTGGCGAGGGAGAAGGCTTTTTGCGTGCATGTGTTCCTTCGGAGGGGCCCAGTCTGAAGCAACAGTGTTGTAGGTGGAAAATGTGATTCACAGGCAAGTCTGTCTGAAGGGCGTTCATAGAGGAGCTATTCTCCACGAGCTGCTGCTGTCACCTCCCTGCTGCAGATATAGTGGGCCTACACTAAACGTCCAGCTCAGTCAGCACTTGCACAGTTTTACAGTGTTGAGTTACAGTATTTCAGAAGAAAGTGGTGCTCAGCAGAGCAATGCATCGGAAAAGAATTGGGCCCTGCGTGGGTTATTACAAAAGGTTTGCCTGTTTACAGATGGGCATTTCACACCACCACGTCAATCAATACTGGCGCTAGAAATAGGTCTCCAGTCCTTACACACCATCTGCCCCACCAGACGCCAAAATAAATGGCATCGTGTGGCGCCCCCTAGCGTGCAACTAAACACGGTAAAGCTTGGCGCCAGTGCAGGCAACACTGCAGCAGTGTGTGGAAAGTGGCCCAAGTCAAGTGGTTTCTTTCTGGCTTGTGATCAGAAGTGTTAGTGTAGACATGTTAGACCAAAGAGTGCTCTATTGAAAGGATTTTTACAGACCCGAAAGGCGACAGTCTACAGTAACCCAGTACAAGATAGGCATAAGTTAAAGAAAAGTCTGAAAAATAAACATCATAGCCTATGTGTAACGAAGATACATCTCTTTGCTTGCTTATTCCTTTAATCATCTGGTGACCCCTCAGATATTCCGACCTCCAGGTTGGGAACCACTGCTCTATTCAGATTCATCAGGCTTAAGTAAAAGCCACAATGGAAAAATACTCAAGTCTTGAATGTACAACAAGCCACTCACAACAAGCTACAAGTATGCAGAAGAAACACTCTTTTATATCTTACAAACCCTTATGGAGTAGGCTAGTAAGAATCTGACTTTAATCCCTCACTATCAAAAAGTACTCATTAGAAAGGGATATTGCTGTGACTGTTGTGGGTAATCCAATTATGTTAATCTGCCTAGATCAAGCTGCAGAATGCTATGTTTGGGAAGGTAAACTATATACTTTCATTCTTTTATCATTTGTTTCAAAAATAAATCTAATATGTAAAATAGCTCACATTATTTTCAATACTTTCTTTAGCCTGTACGGGAATATTGAGTTGCAGATGGCATTCTAGACATGGGGCACAACAGTAGATAATCTCACAGTGGAGTGAGGAAATAAATATAATCAAGAGCATATAATAAAAAGACAATGGCTTTTTGACAGCTTGTTGTTGATGAAGATACCAAGCAGCTCCATTGATCATGATACTGTAAATGAGGACAGGTGATGATTGTCAAAAATGATTAGCCTACAGGTAATCATGTCCTCCACTTTCTTTAGACTTACTAGGCTACCAGGACAGAATTCTTTTTTTTTTTTCTTTTCCAAACAGATGTGTACACAATTTTGAGATACTTTAAAATCAACTGATATGCTACTTAAGGACACGAGTGAAATATAGGTGATTATATGCCTTATAATAAAATCTAATAAATGTTATGCCTTCTGCCACTGAGTCACGTGACTACCTGTCATGTTTAGGCTCCTGAGAAAAACCTCATGCCACGAACTAAGAACAACCAATGACTAAAACTAATATAGAAAATAAATGAATGTTGTTATTTGTATAAAAATACTGTGACATAATCACAATTGTTATTATTATTAGTGTTATTTTAAAAAACAAACCATATTTTCAATGTAAGATATATATATATATATATATATATATATATATATAGTGTATTAGTTAGTTTGTTTTTCTCTCATTTTTTTTTTATCATTATATGTGACTCTTCTTTGACAACATTGTGTACCTAAACATTTATGCCATATAAAGCGATTAAATACCTGAGGACCTGAGTAGATAATTTTGTAATACACGCACTCGTTTTGGCTCTGTTACACTGTGACAACGAGTCAGTCTCGCCATACAAACAGACGTTTTACAGAAAATAATCAAAAAGGCAGACGGACAATTCTATAATACAACACACAGTCCACACAACGAACACTGCTCCGTTCTTGAACACACCCCGCGGCCTTCACGGGGCGTGGCTTAGTTGAATTCGCGCGAAAGTTTATTTCTTCTTCCTGTGAGGTGTGGAGATTTCCGGAGATCGTTTGTTGATGGACAGTATTTATATCTTCACTGACTTGGGGGTGTAGCAGAATCGTGCAGTTTCCCCCTACATCGTCGCAGCATGTCTCAGGCTCGAGTTACTGATTTCTTTTGCCAGAGAAAGAAAGGCATCGCCGGTCCAGTTAAACCAGCCAAGCAGCGCGGCTCTAACGCTGCCAGCACACGGTCAAGATCCACTAAAAACAAAGACGCTCTCATCTGTTCCTCTTCCATCCATGAAGAGTTTGTCCGGGTTATCGACGAGGCAGTGGGGCTAAACGATGCAGAGTCTACTCACAGCGCGAAAGACTCGCCCTCCAGTCCCCGGACACCGAAGCGGACTTCGGCGGACACGGAGTTTGACCTCGGGGCGGCCGTGTTCTCAGCCACCGCCGACCACAGCACGGCCAAGAAGAGACGGCAAGCGGAGGCCGCCAGAGACGCTGAAGCTCACGTTCCAGAGAAAGCGACGAGGAGGAAGGCCAGGAAGAAGCTGGTCCTCCCGAAGGACACCCCACAGGTAAGATTAATGTTGTTCTGGTTCAATCCAGCTCCTGATAGACTCGCAGCTGTGTCTCACACAGTTAATGGTCATTTTTAAAGGCTCATTGTTTGACCCCAACAAAGATGGCAACCAGAAAACAGAGTTTGCTTACTTTTTGGTTGCCAACATGTGGAGGGCTTAATGTGATGTGAATCACATTGTGTAGATCTAACGTTGCCTTCTGTTGCTGTGCAAGTCCAGGCTGCAGCCCAGCCCCTGCCCAGGGAGGTGACCCCGCAGCCCCAGGCCCCTGCAGCCACCTTGTCTGGACACAACCCGGAGAACCATTTTAACTTTCACACCAACAGCTCCCCGCAGAGCGGTCAGGCCATCAGCAAGAACCTGGGAGGAAAGGCCAGCAAGGTAACTGCCTGTTTTGACTGACTGATGCTCCACTTGTGTGCAGTGGCACTCTAGGTGGCCTTGGAAATACAAAAATATATTGTGGTGTCACCTGCAATGCTTCAATATTTTATGGTACACTGTATGATTTTAAATCATGAATCATTTGGGCAAAGCATGGCTGTGTGTGGAGAAGAGGCGCTGTGGTATTTATTATGTCACCGATGCTTGCGGTTCGCCAGAGAGCCAGCAATGTGGCTGACTCCATGTAGATGGTGCTGCAAAAACAAGCACCAGAATGTTTATGGGTGAACTGTGATAGTGAGAGAGCAATGTGAAAAGGCTGTGCGTAGTATAATGTTACTTTAGTCAAATGACAAGTCTGGTGGCGCTCCATATTTTCACATTGTTAACAGATTCAAGGGAAAAACAAACACAAAAACAGCTGGTAGTTTTTAGCAAAGGGAGTTGGACATGGTGCGCTTTCTGGGGATGAATCCACATGTGGTGATCTAGTGAGTATTTGGGGCAGCAGGAAGGTGAATGCGGGCACATTCATTGTTGGTTTGGCTCTGTGCATTGTATTCGCTGAAAGAGGAAATCTATAGAATATGGCCATAGCCATCTTTTAAAGTACTGAATTGATCGGCATGGCAATCCCCCATTCTTTCAGGCTCTGTGTAAAGAGGACATCGCAACCCTGAAGTCTCGCCTTCAGAGGATCAAGAAGCACGCAGAGGAAATAACCAGCACCGCTTCAGTTTCCACATCCCCCTCTTGCGCCTCTCCCCCTGGTCCAGCACCAAACAACAAAGCTACGTCCCCCACCTCTAATGCCAGGACCTTCAAGTTCACTTTAGCGCGAGCCAATGAGCTCGCAGCTAAAGCTCAGAGTAGGAAGGAGGAGAGGGAGGCCGAGGAGAGCAAGCAGAGTGAGACACCAACCCAGGACAGGTGAGCATGGACTCATATGTAGAGCCAAGAACGTTCACACAATACCAGTCTGTGCTGTGCAGGTGGCAGAAAGCAGGTTTAGCCAGGTCCTGCTAAGATCAAGTCAAAGTGTGTTTTTCCCCTCTCTTGTCCCTCAGTACTGAGCAGCCAGCATACCAGCGGTACCACACCCTTGCCCAGGCGGCCCCCCCTGGTCTCTCCTTGCCATACCACTACAAGGTGCTGGCTGAGATGTTCAGGAGTATGGACACTGTGATCTCCATGCTGTACAACCGCTGTGAGACCGCCACCTTCACCAAGATCAAACAGGGAGTTCAGGACATGATGCACAAGTAGGTGGAAAGGCGGAGAGATGGTCTTGTTGTACTTTTTAAGACTTTAAATGAGGATGAATGTTCAAATGTGCTTCCTAGCCCAGAAGCTTCTTTAGAAAGTGTTGCTGTTGTCATGTGTCAGTTTAAACTCCCTTTAGCGCTCCTTTGTATTTCATGACCACAGAGAACAGCCTGCTACACGTGTCAGGCTGCAGAAGCTAATGTTAACCTCTTTTCTTTCCCCCTTGCAGGCGGTTTGAGGAGAGCCACGTGGGGCAGATAAAGACCGTCTTTCCTGAGGCCTACACATTTAGACAGGAGAAAAACATCCCAACCTTCAACAGCAGCATTAAGAAGGGCAGCTACCAGCTCACCATGGAGCCCGTCATTGTCTCTGGTTAGAGCACCCATTTGACCATTTCATGTCTTTAAAGACATCATTTCCTCTAATATCTATTACAGCCTGGATCAGTTCACCTTCATATGTTTGTAAAGTGTAGGTCTGATTTCAGGTCAGGATAATGTGTCTTCTACCTGTCTTCATTTATTTATTATGTGTGTGTTTGCCTTGTTGTCCCCAGACCAGAATGAAGCTCGTCCTCTTCTGTCGGCCTCTCGTCTCCTTGAAAGAAGACAGATCTTCCACCTGAACCTGGTCTCCATTGTCAAACAGCACCACAAGGTCAGCAGCTGCTTCAGTATTACTTCATTTCATGCTACAACTAGGCTTATGCAACAAATGGGGTGTAGCGAGAAAGTTGCAAAAACAGCATGTCAGATAAACCTGCTCGAGCACAGGTGGCGGGTCGGTAATAAGGTGACCAATGAGTTTCGGTACAATGGGGATTTGGACTTGTAGATGAGCTGGTACCAGTGAGTTAGGCAACGTTTATGTAACGAGGGCCAACCAACTAGTGCACACAGGTCACAGTGGAGGGTGTTAAATGGGGCTCTGGTAACAAAACGGATGGTGCTATGATATGCCTAATTTAGTTTCTTCAGGAGAGAGTTGGAGGCACCATGTCACTGAAGTCTAGAAATGGTAGGATTGTTATTTGGTTTATTTTTTATTAGGGACCGATACATCTAACATAGATAAACTGAAAACTGCAATCCAATGTATGTACCATAGTGTTTTTAGCAATTGCTAATTTGCAACACCTGTCCCCAGAAGGGCATTAAAACAGTAATGAAAGAAAATACAATATGATGATGACATTACAATATAATACAAGTTAAAAGGAGGTAAAATGCACGTCAGAATACAATAAAAACTTGTGATGCTAACTACAGTAAACTAGATGTGAGTACACGTTTGTTGCTGAACTAACCAGGACTTGGCCTCTCCTTTTTAAAAGTGGTGAAGTTTACAGCAGTTTTCAAGTGTTTAGGTAGCAAGTTCCAAGACTTTGCTCCTTTCACAGAAAAGGCCGTCTGAGCAAAATGAAACCTTACAATTGGCATTTGAAGCTGCTCTGGCAGATCTGCTGCTACTCTGTAGTCTCTTAATGTACTTACATAGTGGCTGAGCAGCAAGTCCATTTAAATACAAGCTTAACATAATGAAAATCAATAGTTTGCAAAACTTTAAATCTTGTATTTGCTTAAAATGCGACCGTGATGGTACCTGACTTGCTTTTTGACCAGAGTTTTCAAGGCTTGATTGTAAAGACAATCTGTAGATTTAATCACAGACTGATTAGCCTGGGACCAGGTAGTTAAACCATAAGACAGATGAGAAAGTATCATTGAATTTAAAAACATCAAGGCGCAATCAAATGTCAAGCATTTTCTTATCTTAAAACAGGTCAGGTTAGCCTTAATCGTTTTTGCAAATCTTTTTAGTGTGACTTTTAAAGTTTTAACTGGGAGTCTCAAATTATGCCCAGATACCTCACTTCTGGTACTTGTCATATTCACCACAGCAGGTTTAGCAGCACATGTAAAGGAAGCCTATCCCAGACCTAATTTTAGAGAGTGAGCTATCTATCTAGATATTGTAGTTCAAGTCCTTCCAGAATGGTGATCTTAGACAAATGTGCATGTGTAGTCAGGGATCGTTTAAAAAAAAAAATCAATAAAAACCCCCACGCACTTAGTTTTATCAGAGTTTCCAAAGTCCCAAGCCGGTTTAAAGTGAACATGTGCTGTGCGCTGAGGTGGCCCATGACCCATGGGGGAAACATTTTGGTGTCTCTGATAGAAAGGTTCCTTTCTGCTAACTAGTTTTGTTGTCTGCAGGTCTTCCTGTCCACGCTGGTTCCTCTGGTGTCTGTTCCAGAAGACAAACTGACCCGCTGGCACCCTCGCTTTAATGTGGACACGGTGCCAGCCGTCCAAGCTAGCTCACTCCCTCTGCCTCCTCATACCGAGAAACTGGCCACAGCTCAGGAGGTGCTGGACAAGGCCCGCTCACTCATCACACCTAAGGTACCGTACTCACTTGGCAGCTGTCTCTTAATCTATCATTTTAGATGAATAATGACTAATCAATGCCGTCAAAGTCACGTTTGTTTTATAATGCCTAGTGTGTAGTTCATAAACGCATCACTGTGAACTCAAATTAAATTGCTCTCTTGTCCTGCATGTAGATGGAGAAGGCTCTGCTTTCTCTGGCTCTGAAGACAGAAGATAAAGCTGCGGAGAGTAAAGGGTCAACATCTCCACGCAACCAAACCATCCCCCAAACATCAGCTCCATCATCGGCTCCATCAGCAGCCCCTGCAGCTCAAGTCCCAACTGCCCTGAAAGGAGTGTCCCAGTCCCTGCTGGACAGGGTAGGTAGAGAGGGAGAAGAGGGGGACAGTATGGACATGACTCTGCTTTATGCGTTGAGTTAGCTGTTGTTCCCTCAGAAAAAAATAAATCATTGTGTGGTTTGTGGGTGTTCCAGATTCGGGCAAAGGAGGCCCAGAAGCTCCAGGCAGCCATGACTCGAAACCCCGCCCAGGAGGAGCGCCTGCTGATGATGTCACGGCTCCCCGAGCTGGCCAGAATTGTCCGGACTGTTTTTGTTGCAGAGAAGAAACCTGCTTTAATAATGGAAGTGGTCTGTAACAGGATGGTGGCCAGCTACAGATCTGCTCTCAGCACAGGTTGGTTCACTCAGCAGAGAACAGCAGGGCTAAATGATCGCCGTTTCTGTTGGAAACAAAGTAGTAAATGCTGCTGGAAACATAATTTTACTGTAGCATTCACTGTTATTTTGGAGCTATTCAGAAAGAACTGTCATGTGATTGGCTGTTCCTCCTCTCTAACGAACAGGTGAAATGGAGAAACATATCCGTCTGCTGGCAGAAGTGGCTACTGACTGGCTGACTATTCATCCAATCAGGAAGGACTTCTACCTGAAGCTGAACAAGAACATGGAGCTCCACGTTGTTCTGGACAAACTGAGCAGCAGACTCAGGGAGGAGGAGAGACACTGATACCTCACCTCCCTCAGGGCCATGCGGCACATGGATTCCTTGTTTTGAAGTGCCAACTTTTTTTATTTTTATTATTTGAGTGAATCTCACTAGTTTGTTGGCATCAGACACGTGTCTGACATTTCAGTGTGTTTTGTGGTGTGCCCTGCGTTCTAATCTTTCAATGTGACAATCACTGATAGACGGAGCTTGAGGACAGTGATATGTCCCATAACCCTGGGGCCACTTGGGACTGACCAGACCTAGTCCTGGTATTTCAAAGACTCTCCTGTGTTGTAAACGGGTTGTTTTAAACACACTTGTTATAGTGACTGATGTGGTCAGTTTTGTTTTCTCCATGAAAGTGTAATATTGGTGTACCTCTAGTCTTTTTAGGGATCATTTTTCTACAGTGTAGAACATGTTTACATTCTTAAACTGTGATAAGGTTTAAGAAATAAAAACATTTGTCACGGCCTCTTTGCAAACGCAATTTATTAAATATAACAATCTGGAAAGCTATTTATCTCAAGATTACACGAGAAAGGAAGGAGACAAGGAAGGCATCACAGTTGGTAAAGTGTTAACAAGGAAAAACAGTTCTAGTGGCATCTTGTCATGCAGAAAGTTCTGGTCCCCTGATTGAGGTTTCTGCCTCTACCACTGTACAATGGACGTGGATGGCATTTCATTAAAACAATTAACAGCAGTATGTATTTGTAAGGTTGCCACTGCAGTCTGTCCAGCTGGTGTTATTCTAAATGCACGTATCCATACAAAGAAACCATGTCAATCAGCCAATATCATTAAAGACAAATGAACATGCGCATGTGTTGTGTCCAGACTTTCCAAACGCGATTGATGTCTGTATTAGTGGTATTTCGAGATCTGCAATGGCTGTAACTTGTATTCACGAGGCTGATGTATCATCCTAAATGACAACTAATCTAATCCAGAACCATTACTGGCTTGTGTTATTTATATAATTCATTCATTAATAAAACTTCCATCTAAAACACTAGCAATTGAAAAACTCAATGAACTACTAGTCTGTATGAAGAAAATGCATTAAAGAGGTGGTATTATGCTCATTTTCAGGTTCAAACTCCTATTTTGGTTGTACCAGAACAGATTTACATGGTTTAATTTTCAAAAAACATTTTTGCTGCAGCTCCTCTTTTTGCCCTGTGTGTTAAAGACTCTCTTTTAGCTAAGGAGTGATGCATCTTGTCTCTAAATGTTCTAGGCCAACATTATGCGGTGCATGTAGCTTTCACAGCTGGACTACAAACGAGCTGTTTTCAAGCAGTTCAGAGCAGAGTTTTCTGTAGGAGATGAGAACTCCCTTTAGGCTTTTTCACTTTGCAAACCTATTACATGCACAAAAAAGATATAACTCAAAAGGAGAGGGGAAAGAGACAAAAAGCATAATACCACCTCTTTAACGGTAATGTAGGTTTAGTATTTTAATAGCTTAACCCACACTGGAGACTGATTACATTTAGGGAATTTATGGAAGAATTCTAAATTGTTGCACTACTCTTCTAACCAGAAAAAAACCCATTATTAAAACATAACTGATGGTCCATCAGTGTTCCACACTGACATCTCTACAGCTGTTGGATGGATGTTTTAGACATTTAGACATTCATGGTCCCAGATGTATCCGAAGGACTTTCTAATGTTTTGAAAGCTAATATACAGCTACGTGACAAGTAAGCTACAATGACTGTTTTTTATAGCATTTGTTTGTATTAGCCAGAACAACATGCTACAGGTGGTTAGATCCTAGTTAGCTGTAGTGTCACATGGATAGCATGGTTTAAAAGGATAGTAAGTGATTGTAATCAAATACTTCTTGTTAAATTCAGTGAACATTTCCTCACGGTTTGCTAGTTCTCTGTTTTGTGTGTAGTTTGAAAGAAAGTCATTTTCCTTACACAGCCCACGGTCTGTAAATTGGAAAAGTGGTGCCTTGCCACACAACATTGTTTCAGGCAATCAGTAACAAGTGGCGTTCGAGCTCGTGCACAGGAGTGATGGGGGGAGTGGGGCTGTGGCAGAGAGAGTTCTATACAACGGCACATTCAAATGTGCTGGAGTCCAGGCACCGTGAAGGAGAGATGACCGAGAAACAGCTAAAGAGGAAAAGTTCTAAAGAGTTTAAACAGTTATGATGCTGCAGAAATGTCAGATTAGAAATTTGGGGGAGGGCACTTCTAAGGGTGCTTTGTTTGAGTTCAAATATCAACAACCCTTCTGCAGAATCACTCTCCCTTTGAGTCCCAAACACATTCACTAAAGTTAAACCTTGCAGGAAAATGTCATGCATTTCCAACTGATGACTCCATCAGTCATGTATACTTGCTTCTTCTTGTCCCAGTGCATGCTGGGTAAGGCTTGCAGCCAGAGTATCATTCTCAGAACTCATCAGCTATCGACTGATTATTTAAATACACATACATTTTAAGAAAGCTATTCTCTAGGGTTCCGAGATTGATAAAAAGTTAAGTCGTCATTAGACAATAGCCGATGGGTTCCCAGATTGCATTTCGGCCACTTATGCTGTCCACATGGACTGTTAACCTGCAGGCAACCAAAACCTGCTCAAACGTGATTGGTCACTACCCCAACTACAAATGGAAACCAGAACGCTTCCGATACCAAAAGCTTGTCCCTGGCCTACAGATTCGGAAATCTGTTTATAGAGGTTACCGCAGCATTATGAATGAATGACAACACATTTTATATTTTGGCACTGACTGGAACAGAGTTGAAGAGGTTTTTTGTTCAGTCGTGGTGACATTGCGGTCCTCAATACTGAACCAGAGAGAACACACTGTGTGGTTTCAGTTTGTCGATGCCGTTCAGCTCTTTGAGCTCGATGATCACCATGCAGCCCAGAATCTCAGCCTGCTGCTTCTTTATCAGCTCACAGGCCGCATACAATGTCCCTGCAACAAACACACATACATCTTAAAAATGACTGTTGCTGCTCTTTCATATTAAAAGCATTACACTCGCAAAATGCCGGGTGGCTTTTATTGTGAAGCAGTCATGGGAAAGTCAGCCTATTTGTTTGTTATTGTTTGGGCAAAGAAACAACTCTTACACATCAAGTCGTGGATATTTTGGGCACCTCTTGTAGGTGAATCCATTTTAATGATCATGAGGAGGAATATTAGCAGAAGAAACAGACACAGTGAGGCTTATCATTTTATGGAAAACTAATTGTGCTGTGTGTGCAGCAGGAGATCTGATCTCGCTCAGTGCAAGAAGTTATATGAAAAGCCAATAGCACCACTGACCCCCCCTGGCTCCACCACTGATGCTATCTTGTTAGCTGACAGTCAATGTAAATCCACAATGTCAGCAGGATTCTCTCATTTTGAAATAACATCAGCGGGATTTAGTGTCAATTAAGATTTTATCCATTTTGTTTGTATGTAACAGAAGTTTCCCCGTCAGACTGAACATGATGGTTATGAAGCAGATCAAACCTCCAGTAGCCAGCAGGTCATCAATGAGCAGAACCTTCTGACCTGGAGCCACTGAGTCCTCCTGGATCTCTGCCTCTGCCTGGAGGAAGACAAGTAAAAAAGAAGAAGACGAGAAGAAGAAGACTGTTTGTTGGATAGATTGTGGTGCAGCATGGTGGTAGCACAGTGCTTCACAGCAACAGAGACTGAAACAGCTCAGGTCTAAAGTGACATCAGGGGCATGTACCAAGAAGCAGGATTTGAGCTTATTGAGGCAACTTCGGGGTTAACCCTGGGTTTTCAGTACCACAACGGTGGTTCACTTCTTACCCGTGTAGATCGCCATGGTAACTTATGCTAAATGGCTAACCTGCTCCAGAAAGAGATCAACTCAACCAGCTCACTTGGAGAATGACATCACCAATCTGTAGGAGATCCCACAGACTGTTTTATAGGCTGCTCTTATGTTTGCTGCGGTGATGTGGAGAGACTGATTGAAAGCCTTGTAAGCTATTATTGTACAGGTTTTTACACTACTTATGAAGTTAATTTAGAACAATATTTGGAACACCGAGTGTGTTAAATGAATTAATCTTATTTTTGAAGTGACTAGAATTTCTTTAAAGTGAGGTGGAACGACCACTTATTCAGTGCCCGAATTTTTTAATGTGGAAACGCAACACACAGCCGAGCTGAAAGAATAAGGCTGATATTTTCATAAACGCCATAAGAACACAGCAAATCAACGTATTATAAACTACGCCTGTTCATTTAGGCATTCACACTGTCTGCGATTTCTGTCTCCCTGCACGTGTCAGCTGCAGCTGCGCTACTTAGACTATGTTGTATTTCTGTAGTGTTACAGTTTGCTCTTCGTTGCCGCTGAACACACACACACACACACACACACACACACACACGGTGTTATGTCATACTTGCAAAGCCCTCGTAAAAGCTGCAAAAAATGACAAATGTAATCCAGTCCCACACACTGCTTACTGGTCAGCCATTTGAGAATGGTATGGTGGGAAACAGGCCAGCATTTGTTGAATATGCTTCTCATCCCATTAAAAAAAAAAAATCTAAATCAGTGAGATATCTGTGTGCCAATATGCTGTCCAGCAACTGCAAAACTATCTTATGTACACATGGTACTGTTTGTTTAATTAACCTGTGTAGAAATAGATACCAAAGTACAAGACACTTGTCTTCAGGGGCAGTTTGTGTAAACATCTCTAGATGTACAATTCCCCAATTAGCATTCTACCTATGTAAACTGAAGAAATGACTTTAAACTAAATCCTTAGCGCTTGTGTGTTTGTGTTCTTTACCTTCCCATACTCCAAATCATAAGCCACAGACACAGTGGTGCCAGGCAGCTTGCCTTTCTTTCTGACCAGGACAAAGCCGACACCCAGCCGCTGGGCGAGCAGAGGCCCAAACAGGAAACCACGAGCATCTAAACCTGCAGAAAAAATAAGGGGTAGCAGCTAAATATTTATTTATTATACACATTAGGGCAGGGTATAGTTAAGTAGTGTAAATAATGAATCTACAGGTGGATAGTCATGACAGTTAAGATCAATGGTCTAAATTACTCATAAGAACACTGCTAAGAAATGACTTAAGAGTAAAAAAATTCTTGGCTCAATGCTGTGCTTAAAAGTTAGTTATCAAGCATCATAGTCCTAATTTGAGTGAAGCATAGGACTAAATCTTAAGTGTCAGTCTGAGTGCTGATTTACGACACTTTGCTGTGCCGCAAAAAGGATTTTGGATGACGATGTCACCAAGGGCCAATCACTGAAGAGATTTCCTTATTTAAGAATATTCTCAGATAAATTCACATTGAATGGTGAAATTCCTGAGGAATTTATATTCAACACACATTTAACAATAAAGACTTTAAGATAATACATTATGATATAGGCCTACACATTAATAAATGAAAGATTAAAAAAAAAGTTTCTTTATATGAGCGCCATCAAATGCGCCTAGTGCTCCCGTATTACCGGCTATATGAACTGTGTTTGCTTCCATCGTATTACGGGGGGTGTTGTTGGGAAGTCGATGAAATGCGTGACAGTGTGTGGAGCTGTAAGTGCTAAAATTGTTTCCATAATTATTCTGCTTATTGATGGTTGTGAAGGGGACAAAATAATCAGCATTGCTGCGTTTGTCCTGTGGCAAATAAACGAAGCGTCATCTCCACCTTCAGTTTCACTGAAAACGCATTACTGTGTAAAGTCAGTGGTGAGACGACAACTCGCTGACAGAGATTATGCCTGTGCGGTCCGACCCCGGCTTATTAACTGTGCGTCTGCTCTCCTGTCCGCATGTCTCTGTCTCCACAGTGCCATCACAAGCCCTACTGGCAGCTCCTAAACCCTTGAGAGACCTCTCGAGCTTTCTTAAATAACTGGGAGAGTAAGAGTGATTCTCAGCTCTGAGAAATTTGATAACTTGCTTTCAGTCTTAAGTTTAAAAGTAGGAGTAAATTTCATGAATTCTCAGCACTTAAGACTAAAATGGCACTTTGAGAAGCTTGATAAATACCGGCCCAGATCACTTCTTTACAAAACCACCCAGTGAACTGATCAAAAATCAGAAGAGTGGTCCCTCTAAAAAAAATAAAATAAAAAAAAATAAATAAATAAAATATGTTTCTCTTCCCCTGACTGGTACTTATCAAGGACCTAACCGGTCCCTTTGTACTTGCGACAGCTTTTGCCATGAAACTGACTGATATTGGACATTCCAAATCCCGGTGAATTTGTAATCTCCATGCAACCCATGGTATTGATCCTAACTGGCTGCAGCAGAGATGATTTAGCTGTGTCACAGTAAGTAAATGGGATAAATACCGCTGTAATCTTTTATTGGTACTGAATTAAGATCAGTCTGTAAAAACATTTTACACTAATATGATCATCAGTGGTTCAGGGGAAATGTTTATTTCCAAAATAAACAAACGGGCAGGGGACAGATGGGTTTGCTGAAGGACAGTCAACCTAAGAACAGTGTCACGTAAACACTAAGAAGCCACAGGATTCCATACTATGTAAACAGGGTCTGCCTTTTTGTCCTACTCTGGGTCCGACTACGCAGGAATCAACAGCCTGAACTAAGAAGGGACTTGGGACCTGACCGAGTCCAACTTCATTGGCTCCAAAAGACCAAAGAATCTCCCCTGTCAGTAAGCAAGTTTTGAAAATGCCTGTACATAATATTAAAAGCAAGCCGGTGTTGTGCCGAATTCTGCCTGCCTGCCGAAGATTGCATGCACCTCGCGGGTGGTAACTCTAATTCACACTGACAAAACTGGTGGATGCAAATCTCGGCAGGTAGCCTACAACATCTCTTCTGCCGAATAATGCATCCACCTTTTCCTTTTCAGACACTTTGCTGTGCTCATTGATCAAACACGGTTATCACCACATAGCCTATTTTTGTTGACTCATAAGGTAGGCTATGCTACTTCTACTAAGTGTAATAAATTATTAACAACTCTAAACATTCATAAGATATACTTCGAATCATTTATCACCATTGATGTACCCCACAAAAAGATATAGCGTTTAAAAGCAGGTTTTGGAGGTGCATGCAATTCTCGGCAGGCAGGCAAAACTCGGCACAGCACCGGCCTGGTATGAACCTGACTTGTCTATATGAATAATAAAGGCACTACCTTCTTTACATTAGAAGGTGCTTTGCTTTGTTTTCTTACCTACGATCAGATCAACCTGCGGGTGATTCTTGGTCACATGTTCTTCAAACAGGTCGATTACTGCTGTCAGAGCAGCTGGATCCTTCAGGATGGGACAGATATCTCTGCAGGATACAAACACATTACATTACTATCCAGCCATTTCCAATGGATATTAATGTGAAATACATTTATATTGTGACTGCACATTTCCTAGAGAAGTGAGTTGTTTATGAACTTCATATATATTTGATGTATTCTTCCACCAGCACACCTGATAAAGCTAGTCACTAAAAATGAAATGAATTCCATGTATGCGTCCTTTTAAGGTTTCATTCGCAATATTAATCATACACTGACATGGGGCTGCAACTGTTTTAATTATGGATTCACCAACAATCATTTCTTCTCATTAATCAATTTACTCTTCAGTCTAAAACAGGTCTTCAGAAGTCTTGTTTAGTCTGGCCAACATATTAAATAATGAGAGTGAAAAGCAGCACATTTTATATTATTAATATTATATTAATTAATTATTTGTTAATTTACAGACATCTAATAGGATTCTTGCCTATTAGATGTCTGTTCTCCCCTTGGCTCTGCCAGCACCCTTGTTCACCTGACTGGATGAATCACCACTTTTCCTCTTTGGCTGCTCTGGAATCGCCAAACTTCAACTCTTAAGCCACTGCAATACTTTTTTGAAAACATTTTTGAGTAGACTAATAGTCCTCTACACGTCACTTTAGAAGTGTGTACATGAGGTGCAAATATGGGAAAACAACTTGTAACATTTCCTTCCACTGTGTACATGCTCAAAATACAGTAATTAGTATGTCCAAGTTAGAGGGGAAAGGAGCTCTGCTGACAAGAACTGCTGTATAACATTCATCTTTGTTTTTTCTCTTCAGCTACAGTCCACAGTCTAACCTGACTGTCCAAATGTTAGATAATCTGGTTAGATTGTGATTCTTAACTATTGGTTGCATCATACATGCCAGAAGTCTAGCTGGGTCACCACACTCACATGGCTCTGTAGCAAAGCTACTGAGTAAAGTGTTGGTACTGATATGAATGAGTATGAAAGGACACGTAAAAAAATGTTTTGAGTAGTGAGAACATAGTACTATTTTTGCCAGCTGAGCTTGGAAGTACATTATTAAACTTGGACTTTAGCCACATTGCCACTGTCATTTGTGGATGGAGTTGGCTCAGTTGTCATGGAGCCAACTCCATCCACATGATGACAGCTAAGACAGGAGGCTAAAAGCTCTGGAAACAAATCAAAATGTTTTCCATCTTCAATAAGCTGGACATTTTTACACAAAGTCCCAGTAGAACACAACATTAGTGCTAACTAACATCTGAACCATCAACCCCCCATGAGCAGAGCAGCTTGTTCAAATGGCCTGTTGGCTCGCTGCTGCATTTTGCACTGAAGATGGGCTAGTGAGGGCTGACTAATGCAAGTAACGAGAAAAGCAGCTCCACAGCAGAGCATCTGTCTGTAAATCATATTTGCTGCACTGATCAGAGGTAGCCAACACCTGAGTGTAAATGGCTCACATTGATCCAACTGAGACTGTGCTGAGAGAAGCAGTCAGCACTCCACTGCTTTGGTTGCGTCTTCTTGTCCATGAAAGACAGCAACACTGAGTGGATTTAGTCAAGATTCAAAATATTGTGTGGGACAAAGGAAACCATGGAGGGACCTCACTCTTTCCTTGGGGTCCCACCACATGTAAATATAGGCTATGTGGTTACAACAATGCTCCCTACTTCCTCTAGCAAACTGATCCCACCTTGCATCTCATCTGATGAAGAGTTCACTCTGACTGAATGTTAATGCAGCCAGTTTCACAGAGAAGGTGCAACTGGCCTCGGTTTCAGTTAGTGGTCTACTGCTGGTTTTCATCTTGGTGAACCGCATAGTGAAGCAGAGGAGGGGTGCTGCAACCCTGATAAATAACCCACCTGTATGGTTTTCAGCTTATGGAATAGCTGCTGTTAACCTGAAAGTCAACTTCCTCGCAGCCCTTCGAATATGACTCCCTGACTCACAGTTTTTCACCAGAGCTTGTGGGTAATTTCACCATAACCAGGTCTAACTAGGGTCTGAACAAATGCTGTTTCGGTGGCTCCAAACAGAACCAGTAGGTAATGTATCTGTCCTAAGGCTCGAACTGACAGACAAACACGGTTTGGCTGCGGGCCACGGAAAGACAAGAGAAGATAAACTCTGCTGTTACATAACTTTATAATGATATGATAACGTCAGAATGATAACTTGGACTTTTGGCCAGACCAAAAGGCTTTTTACTGCTTTGAGACCAAAGTGCCCACTTTACCAACATCTGTTGGCCGTTTCCGGGGCAACAGGTCTAATAACACTTCCGTCCCGACGCTCGAGCCTCCTTCATCCTCGTGCTGCGTGGAGCGACATACCGCGTGTCCAGCTCTTCGCGCGCTGCCTACAAACGCCTTCTTACACAGACAGTGACCGGGCAGTGTGGAAGACACGGACCTGTGGGACCCTTAACTCAGATGAAGCTTCAAGCAGGACTTTGAAAAACAGGGTTTGTGCACCTGGTTTGTGCACCTGGTTACCAATGGTAACAGTCAGCATCTTACCTGAAAACGATGCCTTTCTTGGGAAAGTCTGGAAACGCTCGGATGTGTCTCTGAACCAGCTGGCGCTTTGATTCTGGTGCTGCCATACTGACTGACTGAATCACCTGACCGCCTCTTGCTGCGGTTCCTCCTGTTTATTATAGCCCACCCTCGTTTTTCTTCCTCTGGGCATCCACGGTGAGCACACAGCATTAAGACGCATTAGCGCCCTCCTCTGGGCGCATGCTCTTGTTGGGCAGACCTACAAAACCCTAAAGATGAATTTAGGCTCCACACTTTTGTTTATAGTCTACAGTCTATGCTTCACACTCAGTAATCCAGCAGTAAAAATAAATGTTAAACATTTTGTAATTATTGCTCTGATCAGACAGAGAAATTAAAAAGACCCAAGTCCCGAACCCTCCAGGTCACCTCCTCTGTTTCCTTTGAATACTCACAGTGACAATTTAGCTGTGCGCTGTGTTGTTTCTCATTCATTCTCAAACAATTTAATACCCACCATCAGTTTATTTGTGATCTGCCTCAATTGTAGTCAGGATATTATTTCCTGCCACACCACCTGTTTCAGTGTCATTTGTGTCCCATTTATGTGCAGTTGCTCTTTAGACAGATGTGTAGGCTACCTCTTTCAGTCATTGTACCACCACAATGAGTTACACTACGACAGTGTAATGTGTGTGGACGGTCTTTTCCTCTGCCTCATTCTCTTGAACCCCTTAATGCACTGATGAAGGTTTCTCAGGGATAAAAAAATATTCACATTTTGCTCTTTGATCAGCATTCAAAGCAGCAGTGGAGTCTGAACATACAACAGTGAGGGATGCTTTTGCCTGTTTCATCCATCATAAACATTCACACTGAGGTAAACAGTGGCATTCACCCTGTGGAGAGGAGACCCCCCAGCTTACTGAATCAGCAACAAACTAACATTTGGGTTAACCAAGAGACAACAGAAGGAAGACAGAATGGAGGGAGCGTGGAAAGCCTGGATGGTAGAAAGGGGGGGGGGGGGGGGGGTAATATTTGGTTAAAATGAGAAGGAGGGGGCCAAACCAGTTATATGTCTCACCTAAGGCGTTAACTGACTGACGCCAGCATCCTAGACTTACAGGTAGAACAGCAAACAGGTAAACCACTGAACTAACTGTCCAAACACTGTCTATTGTTTGGCTGGAACAAACATGTACAGGTGGATGGGTACAGAAAGAGACGATGATCAATGGAAGATGGAGCAACATGTAAGACAATGCTCTCCACCACCATCTCCATGAGACCAGATGACAGAAAATAAACTCTCATCTTCAGATTTCTTTAGGGTTTTCTGAGGCTTCGTCCTTTTGTTCTGTCTGGCTGTGTTTGTGTTTCTGCCTGCTGAATTCAGGTCTCTCTGGATTTTGATGAGATGACCTGATTAAATAAAGGTGGCATATATAAAAAGAGGGAAAATCCTGTGGAGGAATGGTGTTCATCCCCCCAGAGTTTCACAGACTTGGCCAGAAGCCCTGAAGCTGTTCTGGAGGCTCGTGCTGGCCTGACTCCACTCTTAGATACTTTCCTGACACTTGTTGTATCTGTAGGTCTACATATGGTTGTAGTATTTAAAAACTACTAGCAAACAGCTGATTAGTGCAATGCCTGTACACAGTAGATGGCGGTGTGCGCCTGTGTAATGCTTCTTCATGGAACTCGAAGAAGAAACCGCGCTTCTTCCTGTTGGTAACGCGCAGGTCTAACAGCGTATGTGCTGCGCGATGTCGCAAGCTGGTGGTCGCGTGGCGGTACTGTTCAGGTGTGTTGCGGCTCCGTCATCATGCCGTGTTTTTAGATGCAGTAGAGAGACGAGGTTACCTGCTGGGGACTATGGGAGACTGATCCAGAGCAGAGCGCGCAGCGGCACGCAGCACGCCAGCAGCGTCGCAGGTCAGTGGCGTTGTCTTTGTGTGCGCGCTGTCCAGCACGGCGAGGTGTTAGACAGCAGCGGCCCTTTGCTCGCTAACATTTGAGAATGCTCTTTATGCCCGCAAGACGCTGCAGGTGAGTCCCTGTTGTTGCAGGCTGTGAGGATGGCGCAGTGGCTAAGACACGTGCCCTTGCTGGGAGAGACCGAGGTTCAATTCCCCCACAGTGTGACACATGTTTCCCTGCAAGCGAGACACTTAGTTGCTCCTGAAATAACTGTAAGCCGTTTTGGATAAAAGCGTCAGTAAATGAGTATGACGTCATATCCGAAGCGGCCTCCTGTAGAAACCATAGAGGCTTTATTTCTCCTTGCGCGAGGAGCAGGGAGTCCGGTTCATCTTAAAATGAAGGATTTGCGACTGCCCTTAATAATCAATTTTTTTTACTGTACTCATCAACTTCTTTAAAACAATATTTATTATTACTCAAAACAGCTTCCCTTCCAATCTGACTTCAGCGGGGTTTTGTTTTCAGTTCCTGATTTGTGTTGCCTTTCTCAAAAAACGAAAGAGAGCAGCCCTAACGCTAGATAGTAACCAGCCAGTGTGCAACAGAGATGTGCCTGTTCATCACTGCACCTCCAATCAGACAGTCTTGTCCTCCTCTTTGTCTTAACTCCTCTACAGTGCAGCCAGTGAGTATCATGATTGATTCTTTTGTCTCTGTGTTTCAGCAAGTTGGACATGAAATGACTAGTGTGGCGCTGAGGTGCCAGCTGTAGTTCAGGGTTCTTTACATCCAGACTGGGATGCAGAGAAAGGGCTCTGACTTTTACATGGTTCATGGGATTGTAGATGTATACTCTCTCATGCTATAGCTCTCAGATTGAGGCACTTTAAGCCCATATGCGTTGTTTCATTTCCAATCCAGTGTCCTGGATTACAGAACCTGTCGTGCGTTGTAACATCTTTCTGTCCCCTGACCTCGCTGTAGCTTACTGACCCGAGAGAGGCCAGCGCTGGGAGTTGTAGGAAGTGAAGTCCTGTCTCACTATGTTGTCTTCCTCCCAAGGGAAGCTGCTGCAGAATGGAGAGAACAAGAAAGTGGTGAGTCTCCACCGTATGTTCTGTAAACTGAGATATCATTTTCTCTGCGTTCCCTCATACACGTACCTGTTAACTTCTGTCTCTCTGTCACTGTTTTCAGATCTGCATTGAGGGGAACATCGCCAGCGGAAAGACGACATGTCTGTCATATTTCAGTGAAACGAGCAACATAGAGGTACGACAAAGCAAAGTTGTGTTGATTTGAGTGCATGTGCTCCCACTAGGAAGTACCATTCTAGTTGTTACACAAATTGGCCTGAGTTGTAAGATGCCTCCCATTTGACATGAGGGTGAAGGTTAGGCTTTGGATTGGAAAGTTTTTATGGTAGAAAATAGGTTTTAGAGTAGCTTTATCTTTCCTCCTTTTCCTTAGTACTTTGAAACCCACTCCCTCCTTCGAAACTAGGGCGGTCAAAAAAGATGGAAAGTCAAAGATAAATGAAACTGAGTGTGCACTCAGTTTCATTTATCTTCATGTGTTTCAGAACAGGTAGTTGTCAGCGGTTTTTCTGCTGAGTCAAAACAACCCCAGACATCGTAAGTGCTCACTAACATGTTATTCCTCTCTCCTCTATTGTTTGCTTCAGGTCCTTACAGAACCGGTCTCTAAATGGAGGAATGTCCGTGGACACAACCCTCTGGTACTGTACATGACACTGTTATCTTTGTGTCATTGCACTGACCTGAAATCAGACTTTTTCTTAAATCAACTACATGTATTTATAGGACAATTTCTGAGAGCATGAAGGTTTTAAATAAAACAAGTGTGAAGACCTACTAGAGGCCTCAAGGGTCTGTAGTAGGTCTGTACTGTATGATGTGAAATATAGTCTAATTAACTTCAAAAATAAGGGTCCATCCTCTGGGGACCTTGATTATCCAGATCAAACCTTGTGGAAATGTGTCCTATGCTTTGTCCAGTAGTCGTAGTTGGATTGATTCCCTGTACGTCTGCCATTTTCTGTCCCCGCAGGCTCTGATGTACCAGGATCCTGAGCGCTGGGGCATCACGCTGCAGACCTATGTTCAACTCACCATGCTGGATAGACACCTGTCACCCATAGTAAGTGTACTCTTCACGAGAAAAGCACCCATTTTACTGCATACTAATTAATATACGCTGTGTCGGCCCGCAGTGATGCAAACACACTGCCTCATCGGGAAGTCAGCTGTATATTCTAAAGGTTTCTTGTTGGTTCCAGTCAGCTCCTGTCAGGATGATGGAGAGGTCCATCTTCAGTGCCAAGTACATCTTTGTGGAGAATCTCTTCAAAAGGTACTGTTATCTGTGGAAACTCCAGCTCATGGATCAGACAAAGAAACTAGATTAAAAAATCCATACATCAAACAGTTTCAGTTAAACTCTCATGCTGGTTTGAGGGATTCTGTTGCATAACAGTTCAAGCTCTTAGTCTACATGTAGTACCTGTTGAAGCTGGGACACAGTGGGGATAGGTGATATGCATTGATTATAGATAAAATAGCCAGGCTGAATGTTTGTTTTATTGGTTTATAAAGTGAAGTAAATACCTGACAAATGAAGGTACAACAGCGTGGTAAATCCAATATTACCATAAACCACTGCTGGTTGATTTGCAGCGTTCCCAAAATTGACCTAATACACGCACAAATAATAGCAATATTTTATCATCATAAACAGAACATCTGTGATGTGATTCAGATCATCGTGCTTTATACTGTCACACTGCATTCCCCGACAGCATACGGACAGGGTACATGCTCATGTTCTGTTGGTGGAGTTTTTTGTTTTGTTTTTCCTTCAGTGGGAAAATGCCAGAGGTGGACTACGCTGTCCTCAGCGAGTGGTTTGATTGGATCACAACAAACATTTCCGTTCCTGTTGATCTGATTGGTGAGAATGCACAAACACAGAAATACAATACAGCTGTAGTGTTTTTATTTCCGACAGACAGTCATAGAGCCATTGAGAATGCAATTAAATGATACTATGGAGATGATTTGCTGATGACTAAAATCCATCTGTATGGTAGAGCGTGGCCGTGATGAAGATCAGCTTTTTCTTGTGACACCTGCTGAAATCATCAAATAATTTATTTATATTGAAGTTACCTATAACAGTAAATCACACTGTCATATCAGCAACAGGGAGGTGAAACACACTTTCAGTGAATACTGATTTCCCTAGTCTGTATTTTATGTTGCCTTCATTGGTAGACTGTGATATCATAGAGTGCCAAATTGTTTGTGCAGGAGTCTCAGAGTCAGTCTGATTCTACTGGAGGATTGACACTGTCTGCATGCCTACCCTCATTTCAAAAGAAAGACATGATGAGTGCTTATAGGGGCGGCTGTGGCTCAGGAGGTAGAGCAGGTTGGCCGTTAATCGGAAGGTCGGCAGTTCAGTCTTGCCCAAGGACACTTCGACACGCAACCACGGCAGTTCAGTCTTGCCCAGGGACACTTCGACACGCAACCAGGGGTGGTTGCGTGTCGAAGTGTCCTTGGGCAAGATACTGAATCCGCCAGTGTATGAATGTGTGTGAATGTTCGTTTCTGTCTGAGCTTAGGCTCAGTGTGTGAATGGTGAATGCAAATGTCAAATACAAATATGGAGCATTTCCATACGGAGCATTTATAGGCATCCTATCTCAGACTGCTCTGTGTGATGCAAATGGGTAACATGAGATACAGTACGTGCAAGTACACTTAAGTTTACTTACTCAGAATATTTTACAGTGTTCAAATAGACTGTATCTATTATATTCAACTGACAGAAGTTGCAACCTTTTAGCACTCCAAATCATAGAGCAGGTCTTCATCCACAGAACATGCCATCGGTACCATTAGCACTTTGAGATTTCATTGAAATGTAAAATGCATTATAAATAAAATTTACCATAGAACCAAGTCCAGTCCTATAAAAATAAACCCTTTTTATACATTTAATCTAAGTACTGTTTGGGTACTGTCATTGTTTATCTGTGCTTTGCTGCAAGCTGAATTCCCCCAGTGGGACAGTAAACTGAACTGTGGCTGTTTCCTCTGTCTCCAGTCTACCTGCAGACGTCTCCTCAGACCTGCCACGACAGGTTAAAGGAAAGATGCAGAGAGGAGGAGAAAGTCATTCCATTGGTGAGGATGCAGACTCAAACATAGGGTTTCACTTGACATAACAGACAAAGTTCATATCAATTCATGGGTTTATAGAGGATTGTGAAGATGAAATTTTCTGAATTGGTCAGCAATGTGCTATCTCAAATGAGATCTCAAGCCTGTGTGTGTGCACGTGTGTGCCCCCCCCTCCCAGGAGTATCTGGAGTCCATCCACCAGCTGTATGAGGACTGGCTCATCAAGCGTACCTCCTCCCCTCTTCCTGCTCCTGTTCTGGTGAGTGAATATTCACATCCAGCCAAGTCTGTGCTTTGGTTTGTGTAGGTATTATATAGTATCTCACAAAAGTGAGTACACCCCTCACATTTCTGTAAATATTTGATGAACTTTTCATGTGACAACACTGAAGAAATGACACTTTGCTACAATGTAACGTAGTGAGTGTGCAGCTTGTATAACAGTGTAAATTTGCTGTCCCCTCAAAATAACACATCACACAGCCGTTAATGTCTAAACCGCTGTGGTTTAGACATTAAAGGTGTTGTCACATGAAAAGATAGAATCAGATATTTACAAAAATGTGAGGGGTGTACTCACTTTTGTGAGATACTGTACATAAAGCAGCATGTGTGTCTGGTAGTTTCAGGTAACCATACAGATGGCCCTTACACTGACTCATGCCTCCTGTCTTTGTCTGATGTTATTACATGTCTAGGTGTCATAGTGATTATGATCCATTTCTAATAGTTAAATAGAAAAAAACCCTTTGTGTGTGTGTGTGTGTGTGTGCAGGTGATTCCTGCAGACCATGACCTCCAGAAGATGCTGCACCAGTATGAAGAAAACCGCGACAAGATTCTAGCAGCTAGCTACCTCTGATACACAAACACAGTCAAACACATCCCTGCATGGAGACTGGAGATCGAATAATGCTGTTCACAGCCATTGTTACACAGCTCATCTGTTACATTTCCACAACCAACTAGATGTCCGAGATTCTGATTTCAATTTTTAGCAATTTTTCAACTCATCTCTCTACATGGGATAACTGTCCTGACCACAAATGTAGATTAAAGGTATTCAAACCTACAGGGTGAAGAAGCTCCAGAAACACGTTTGCCACTTATTATCAGCTTTTCATTGAATTAAAGGAATTTCCAAATGTCTCTCCACAGACACAGTCATTGAGACTGTGATGTTTAGCTGATTTATTCTACTATGTGTGTAGCTTCTTGTTAGTCTGCTTTTTTTATCACCATGTAGTGTAATGCACTGGAAGTTTATCCCCAGAACTTAGATTTTGCTGTCACCCAGGTGTAATGTGTTTGGATTTAAAACCTCAATGAGCCAGATCACAGGATGTGGTCAAATCAGATTATCTGCTACAGAAAAAAACCCACATGTATACTGTAAAGTGATTAATTGATTTTGGGACCTGATTGAGACTGTGTAGTGTTCAAATGTTTGTAATTCCTTTAATGAAGCAACCTTTGCTCTTTGTTTTACACATTTTGCTATATTAGAAAGTAAATAAAAAAATAATAAATAATCATAATTAAGATTTTAAGATCTTCTGTGTTCAGATATGTTAGTTGGGAGTTGGTGCTTCTCATGAAACAGGTATTGTGGGGTAAGTTTCAGCACATGATTACTTATCGTTAAGCAACGTAACATGACAAATACTACTGCTAGATAAATGGGAAACCTTTCTAAAACATACACTATTGTTCTTAACCACTTTCAAGATCTGGTATAACAAGAATATATTGCGACAGTTTTTTTTTATTTTAAGTGCAGTTTTTAATCCCTGCAGTAATTTGGCTAATTGCTAATTTGTTACAAATGCCTCAAACTTGCACCCCTAAAACACACAATATCAACTAAGGCAGATCTGTGTTATTACCCATCTTTCTTGTAGAGGGGCCCAGTGTCATACTGCTCACATGGTTCATAATACAGAATAAAGTGGTGTTCAAAGTACCATAAACTAATTTACATGCAGAAAACCCTGTGCAGGCAGTATTATTGGCAAGCTAATGATAGCGGCCCAACAGGACCCAGGGGCCTTCTAATTGGTTAATCTGAATGACCTGCCCACCTTGTTCTTGGTCATTTTGCATGTTTTTGCATGTGTGGACATTTTGAGTTAAACTAGTTTTTTCTTGCTGGAGATGAAGAGAGGCTGTCTACATGCTCCCCCACAGATATTCAAAGCCCTAAACCTGGTACACAAATTATTAAAAGGAACTTGTCAAAAGAAACCTTTGATGCAGGTGTAGTTTTCTTCAGGCACAAGTGCAACAAGGCTTGTAGGTGCACAGAGTAACGTATACATAGCAAATTATTGTCTTCCAGAGAGAGAAAGGGAAGGATTGAGATATAGAGAGACAAAATAAATGCTTAGTCACTCCAAGCCTGTTTATTTATCCATGGGGACGTGATCTGTGGGGCTCATTTCAGCCAAGAAATGAGTTTCTCATGAAAAAATCTTAAAATTATGTCCATTGAGAATAAGTCCATTGGCAGATAGGTTGTTCCTTTTGTTAATTCTACTTGGCATGTTGAACACAAGTCACATTTGTAATTACTGATGATCCATTTCAGGCTTATTGTTATGAATGCTGTGTCACTGCTGTGGTTAATGTTACCTGTACTTAATCGCCTTATATAGCCCCACACACTTTACTCACTTTCTCTATGTGATATAAATATTTGAATTCTAATGTTGTGATTTTTTAAATATTCCATATTGTGAGACCCTATGGCTCAAAATTAGAACCGCTGTGAGTGATAACATGGACCACATCTACTATTATACATTAGCACTTCCTCCATTTTAGAAAACACATCTAAACCACTAGGCACACCTAGCTGATGTTGGACCATGGACTCTGATATTATTAACGGTGCCCTGTAAAGCTTTCTTGTAAACAAAGTTTCTCTTTACATTCAGCCTTACTCACCAAGAGTATATTCTTGAGCTCCAATAGTGTTGAATGCATTTCTTTTCTGAAAACATTTGCAAACAGTTTTTGTTTATTGAGAAAATAAACTTATAAGGCCATTAAGGTGTTGAATGGTTTGTGGTGGGTGCTGACTACTTGAGGTCGGCTTGATGTTCTTACAGTCCATCCAGGTGAGAGTCCCTCTGGTACATGGCTGGGCTGTGACATGTAGTTAGAAGCTCAGAAAACTACCAAATGCACATTTGGGCTTTGATTATTTTGTTACATATATATTGTTCCCATGAACAAATATTTGATTGAAGGCTCTGGTGCTTTTGGCCAGGAGATCAGTATCAATGAAAAGAGTAAAGCCTGCACGCTAACTCCAGACCACACATTTATTTTATTAGGCTGGAATGTTTTGATCCCCATCAGACTTTTATTTCAGGCTTAGGATGACCCGATGATCATACAACTGGGACTGAAACCATTTAAATAACAACTAAGGATCAAAACCCAGACCTTGCTGTGAGGCCACGGTGCTCTCCACTGTTCCACCGTTAGAATAAGACAATGACAAAGGCCGACCTTTCACACCAAAACTTTGAAGACAGAAGAAATTATGTTATTTCATAAAAATAATGGCAGAAGTTTTCTTAGAACTTACATTGGAACCCCAACCCTAACCCAAACCCCTGTGACAACCATACTTCAAACAGTATCTAGGCTTAATTTGCAATATTGATATTCTATCTATATACATATCTTCCTGAGTGGACTGAAACATCCTGTTCAGCAGTAGGTTTCAAATTACATAAGTGATGTAAATGACTGAATTGAACTGATGATGAACTGATGAATTTATTTTCATCCTTTGATTCACGATAGCATGATGATTAATGAAATCAACAACTAAACCAAGCATCTGAGCTGTAATTAATCTACAGTAAGGCCAAAGGCATGAGCAATAATCAGGTTTCCAGAGCATGAGTGGACGTACAGGCCAATGTGTTGAGGGGGTGAGAGGAATTCACTAAATTTGAGGAAGCAACTTGGTTTCTGTTGCTATTTTTATAGCAGTTTGTTTTTCACTTTTTGGAAAATTCAAACTGAGAGGACAGCAAAGTGTTGGATATGACCTGAACAGACATTTTAAGTAGCATAAGGCTTCTGATCTGCTGCTCAGTCAGCGTCGTGAATTGTTTAAACAAGGCAAATTCTGATTCACAATTTTAATTAACAGCTGCAGCCTGCTATTACTCTCCAATTAACGGACAGGTGTTTTAATACACAGACTAACATTAAACATGTGCACTGTACTCAGTGATGTACTACATATAAATATACCTGCAATTTATATAATACAATTAAGATTAATTCTCAGTCTGAGATATTTCTGACAGATTCCATATTACAGAAGTGTCAAAAAAACTGACAAAGCAGCTGCAAAGCCTTCATACCAATATTAACAGGCATTTCAGCTACACTATATTATAGTATACAAAAGTACTGGGACACCTACATTACTTTTATGACATCCCATTCTAAATCCATAGGCATTCATATGGACCTGGTCCCCCCTTTGCAGCTATAACAGCTTCCACTCTTCTGTGAAGGCTTTCTACAAGATGGTGGAGTGTGCTAGTGGGAATTTTTGCCCAAGAAGAACATTTGTTAGGTCAGAGAGTGATGTTTGACGAGAGGGCCTGGCTTCCAATCTCCGTTCTAGTTCACCCCAAAGGTGTTGGATAGGTTTGAGCTCAGGGCTCTGTGCAGGCCACTCAAGTTCTTCCACAACAAATTGGGGAAACCATTTCTTTCTGGAGCCGGCTTTGTGCACAGGTGCATCGTCACACTGAAACAGTACTGTCCCAGGACTTTTGTCCATATAGTGTAATTGAACTGGACTTCTGCACTGTCTTCTATCTGGTTTCACAGACTATTTATATGGATAGACAACAGGAGTTGCAATAAAGGTAACCGTCCTAGAATACTTTGTGAACACTCCCAAGTCAGAATAATGGGAGGTTTGAATGCAACTTAACAGCCAAATATGGGAAACAAACTGTGCACCCAAAGCTGCTGAATCAATTCCTGAGAGCTGTTCAAAATTGGCTTACAGACCGACCCAGCTGTATGCTCAGTAGTTTTGTCATTATACATCACAGTAGATGTAAATGAACCCGGAGAGCACTTTATTTCTTGTGATTATCGATTATAACAAAGCTCTGTGCCAGCTGTTCCTCCTCTCTTCGGACGGTATCTTCTTCCAGCTGCCCTGCGCTGCCTCCCTCTTTACAGCTCTGACAGTCTGCTGAGCCGACGGTCGGCAGTGAGGGCTGGCCCACAGTGGGCTGCTTCTGCTCTTTTATCACCACAGGATCCTTCTGAGAGGATCTGCTGTGTCTACGGCTCAGCGCTAGACACGTCTCCGTCACCGGCTTCCTCAGGTTCTGCTCTGTGCTCACCTTCCTCTCCTTCTTGGTGTTCTCCTCCCCTCTCTTCACTTCCTCTTCAGTCTCCTGCACACGGAGCTGGCCCATCCTCTCTTCCAACCTTCTCAGCTCCTGCTCCTCGTCCATGGAGCTCAGAGAGGGAGGGTCGCCTTCCAGAAAGTTAAAAAGAGAGTCAGTAATGTAACAACATTGTGAAAAATATGATAACATACTGTGTACCATTTCTCAACCATGAGACATCTTGCTATCTCTGGTTGTCTGAGCATTGTGGATGGTATTTAAATGAAACAAAACACATTTAATTTAGCCAAACAAACTCCGAAACTAACGGAAACCACAATAAAGGATTTTTCTGCAATTCAGTGCACAATCTATGTGAAATATTGTACATATATAGCCTGAAATTATATTCTTTAGATGTGTATATATTGTTTTGAGTTATGTTTTTCACAGTGGATCATAGTCCACACATGTGTGGACAGCTCTGATATATAGCTGGTGAGTGACAGGGAAGATTTATATTGCGTTTTGTAGAACTTATTAGCCCAAACATGACCAAGGCCTCAGAACATGATCACACAGCATCTACTGTGCTGTGCCCTTGATTTAGGCAAGGCAAGTTTATATGTTTAGACAATTCAAAGTGCTTTACATAAAACATAAAAGCAACACAGGTAAATATAAAAAAGACAGAAGAGTCAAATAGAAAATAAAAACAGGTTAATTTACCTAGTATAAGATATATCTTCATAATTTCTCTAATGGATTATGAATAATCAGGGTTTTCACCTTACATTGTTTTGCTTTTTTGTATTCTCATCCCTCACACCGGTTAAACCTGACCTTCTTTATCATGCGATGTTTATTTCCTCTTTTTATGATCGTCACTGTGAATCCAGATTGTTTGCGCTACAATATTGGTAAAAGACAGTTAACACAGCGGAGACAAACGTTCAGCCCTACTCTGCCTGCCTGGACACACCGCGACTCAGACAGTGGACAACTACACTAGAGATTCTACTCGGCCCTCTTAAGACTTGGTCTGACTACTTATGAGAGAGGAGAAACCATTTCAAGTTTCAAAATCAAGAAATACCTGTTTCTAGAAAAAAATGACCCCAAAAACAGGGCAGTAAAAGCTACTAGATAAGGTATTACTGTGTTGTCATTGTAATGATAAGAATCAACATAATTGTTTTGTAGTGAGGGTTCTGGTGCTGCTGTGACAGTTACCTGCTGCAGTCTGCTGTTGTATCCAGGAAGGAGGCTCTGCTGTGGGCTGAGACTCTGCAGGCTTCTGGCCCTGCTCTGCTGTGGATCCAGCTCTCAGTACGATGTGCAGGGAAATGGCCTGAGGACCACTGAGCTCATCATCAGCACTGCTTCCGTCGCTGTTACTGAAGCTGCAGCTGATGGCGGTCCCACCGCTGTTCCTTTTATTACAACCACTGCTTCTGCCATCGTCGCCAAACACTTCTTCAGCTTTGCTGCCATCATTTCTACTGCGGATAGATGTAGCAGTAGCTTTGGTCCCTTTAATACAATCTCTTGTGGGGAGATCAGCAGCCTTCATGTCGTCACTATAGTTAGTAGTGCTGGCAGTGTGAACAGATTTACTGCTGCTGCTCCTGCTGCTGTTTGCTCGGCGAGGTTTGTCCGTGAGCAGAGGACGGCCCCTGAAGGCCAGGTCAGGGTAGGTCAGCTGCATCTCCATAATGGACTGGTCTACACTGGCGCGGTGACAGTGTCGAGGCTTGGGCTGGGGTTTCGCTCCAAGCCTGCGGCTCAAACTTAGAGGTGCCTGAAGAAATAGAACAGAGGGGAGTTCAGTACAGACTGAAGCTGGCTGTTGTTAACCTGGTTCTTCAGTATGTCATGTCAAGCTGTGTTTGTGTGTGTTGCTGATGTATTTTGAAATCTTTTAAACTGCAGTACATTCTACTGATAATCAGCCACATTTTGTCCCCGTCACACATTTCTATAAACCTGCTCATTTTGTGCAGCTGCACTAGTGCCCACAGTCAAAGTGTGTGTTCCAACCGGTGGGACAGCATCCGCAATACTGGGGACCACGGCAGAGTGTTGACAATCCTCAGTTGGTCCAAAATGTAGTTGGACCAAAGCAGGATGTATACCTTTAATTTTTATGATGACTTACAGTGGGTACGGAAAGTATTCAGACCCCTTTAAATTTTTCACTCTTTGTTTCATTGCAGCCATTTTCCATTTTATTTCTCAGTAATGTACACTCAGCACCCCATCTTGACAGAAAAAAAACAGAAATGTAGAAATTTTTGCAAATTTATTAAAAAAGAAAACTGAAATATCACATGGTCATAAGTATTCAGACCCTTTGCTCAGTATTTAGTAGAAGCACCCTTTTGATCCAATACAGCCATGAGTCGTTTTGGGAAAGATGCAACAAGTTTTTCACATCTGGATTTGGGTATCCTCTGCCATTCCTCCTTGCAGATCCTCTCCAGTTCTGTCAGGTTGGATGGTAAACGTTGGTGGACAGCCATTTTCAGGTCTCTCCAGAGATGCTCAATTGGGTTTAAGTCAGGGCTCTGGCTGGGCCATTCAAGAACAGCCACGGAGTTGTTGTGAAGCCACTCCTTCGTTATTTTAGCGGTGTGCTTAGGGTCATTGTCTTGTTGGAAGGTAAACCTTCGGCCCAGTCTGAGGTCCAGAGCACTCTGGAAAAGGTTTTCGTCCAGGATATCCCTGTACTTGGCCGCATTCATCTTTCCCTCGATTGCAACCAGTCGTCCTGTCCCTGCAGCTGAAAAACACCCCCACAGCATGATGCTGCCACCACCATGCTTCACTGTTGAGACTGTATTGGACAGGTGATGAGCAGTGCCTGGTTTTCTCCACACATACCGCTTAGAATTAAGGCCAAAAAGTTCTATCTTGGTCTCATCAGACCAGAGGATCTTATTTATCACCATCTTGGAGTCCTTCAGGTGTTTTTTAGCAAACTCCATGCGGGCTTTCATGTGTCTTGCACTGAGGAGAGGCTTCCGTCGGGCCACTCTGCCATAAAGCCCCGACTGGTGGATTGCTGCAGTGATGGTTGACTTACTACAACTTTCTCCCATCTCCCGACTGCATCTCTGGAGCTCAGCCACAGTGACCTTTGGGTTCTTCTTTACCTCTCTCACCAAGGCTCTTCTCCCCCGATAGCTCAGTTTGGCCGGACGGCCAGCTCTAGGAAGGGTTCTGGTCGTCCCAAACGTCTTCCATTTGAGGATTATGGAGGCCACTGTGCTCTTAGGAACCTTAAGTGCAGCAGAAATTTTTTTGTAACCTTGGCCAGATCTGTGCCTTGCCACAATTCTGTCTCTGAGCTCTTCAGGCAGTTCCTTTGACCTCATGATTCTCATTTGCTCTGACATGCACTGTGAGCTGTAAGGTCTTATATAGACAGGTGTGTGGCTTTCCTAATCAAGTCCAATCAGTATAATCAAACACAGCTGGACTCAAATGAAGGTGTAGAACCATCTCAAGGATGATCAGAAGAAACAGAAACAGCACCTGAGTTAAATATGAGTGTCACGGCAAAGGGTCTGAATACTTATGACCATGTGATATTTCAGTTTTTCTTTTTTAATAAATTTGCAATAATTTCTACATTTCTGTTTTTTTCTGTCAAGATGGGGTGCTGAGTGTACATTACTGAGAAATAAAATGAACTTTTTTGATTTTTGGAAAATGAAACAAAGAGTGAAAAATTTAAAGGGGTCTGAATACTTTCCGTACCCACTGTAGCATCATGCCAACCTGTTTGCACTTGACTCAAGTCAAGTTTTGTGTGTATGTGTGGGAGATATGCTAAATTAATAGTCTTATACCAAAGGTAATGAGAAATACAATAATAATTTAAAAGTGCTGTTTGTGGGGGTTTTTTTTGGTCCCACAGACTAACAGAGAAAACACTAGAGCACCAGAAAGCTGAGGAGATGGCAGGTGGCTGAGGAGGAGAATCAAAGCGGTTCAGGCACCACAACAACCCGAGATGGTAGTGTAAAGAGAGGCGTGAGCTGGACTGGTATGTGGCTGACAGATCTAGTTTTTCTAGTAGCTGTAGGCCTAGTTTTAGGTCTTTGTTCATACAAATGGTATTGTGACAGTCTGACGTAGAAAATTCCAAGGCGCACATGCATCTGTATGTGTGTGTGTTAACTTGAATGAGCGTGACTGAGAGTTGAGTTGGGACTGTAAAATAAGTGTGAGTAGCATATAGGAAAACAGCTGCTCCGTTAAGTTCTCATGGCAGGAGGGTTTGATATTTCTTCCTCTCTGGTCCCACTTATTTGAAGTCAGCTCTTTACTTTCTTTTCCTCTGCACTACAGCTTACCTTATGTCTATCTGCCTCTCCCTTCTTCTCCTCTTCCTTTTGTGCTATTGTTGTCTTCGGTTCTGTAGGTTCCTCCAGTTTTGTAGGCCCCGCTCTCCTCTGGAGAACCTCCAGCCACTCCTGCAGGGTATGATCACAACTGTCACATGGAAGCCATGGAATGAGAACAAATTACTGAGCTCTGACCATGTCCTATGGCTGCCAACCATTTGCATACACATATTTATTGGGTAGATGGCAGGGAGACAGTCAGGATCACTATCAGTATGGTATGTTTGTATTCTGTATTCCAACACTTTCTTTTTCGAAAAGTCTTCTGTCATAGTTGTACTTGGATTCTGCTAATTGTAGCCTAGAACTATATTCTTCCTTTAATTTCCTTTTATTGCAATCTTCTGGTTTTGTCTCATCATGACGCACATTACTTTCTTTGTTTGCATCTCTTTTAAAGCCACTTTGTGTACGACTGACTGCACCCCTTTTCGTCAAGATTATTTTATATTTCGACAAACAAAAACAGATGCCATCAGAATCACTGGATAGATGCTTTGATCAGAAATTCCTGCAGTGGCTTTGAATAAAGCAGAACACTACATACTTTACTGTAGTATAATCAGCTGCTGATTGATTGGACAATGATATGGCAGATATGAAACATGGTTGGATTGTTTCTGATCTTACCTGAGGTCCCAGCTGATCCTTCTCCAGGAGCTCCAGGAGGTGGTAACATTCGACCCTGGCCAGCAGCAGCTCAAAGCCCACCAGCATGGCTCTGTCTGGGTTAGCATCCTCACTGAGTCTGTACTCACTGAAATACATCAAACAGTAAAGAGGAGAACTGAGGAGAACAAGCGAAAAGTTAAAAAAAAGTTATGAGAAGAGCAGACCAAGTGCCCCTTTTACAGACCACAGAATCTGCCTTGAATCCAGCATGTTGGTGCTTCAAGATTCACACTCTGGTTTGTTAAAGCAACCCCAAACCCCTGAAGTTCTCCCAGCTCACGGCTGACATCAACACAGTTCACAGTTAAGTTCCCAAATTTGAGATTCTGTGGTAACATTAGGTGCTGTAAGAAAATCAAGGAGTGGCCCTTCAAGGACATGATCAAGTCAGTGGTTTGAACACATTTCACAATCAGATTGAGATTTTGTCCCTTAGAGAAACGATATGAAAGTAAGTGAGACTCGTTGTCTCTGAGGTGCCATTCTCTTGCCATTCTTTGGACATTTTAAGTCTCACTTACTTGACTGAAGTTAAGGCCTATTACACTGTTTCTCCTGGCATTCAGACACCCTAGCAGCTGTAAGTAGGGGCCTTGCTGCATTTACTGTCACTCTTGTTCTGGTTCTTCTCGTCCCCGTTCCCTACCTTTGAGGAGTTTCAGCATGGGGCAGGTAGCCAATAGAGGCCAGGACTGACTGAATGGTAGAACTGCTGAGAACTGGCAGGAGACAGTAAACAAATGGGCCTGTAAAAGTCTGAAAGAGACACAGAAATACATCTCATATGTTACTACATAAAGAAATATATTTATTTAAAGGATTTATTTGTTTGAATTTGTACTGAATAGTCACAGGTTCAAATGAGTACTTCATTCCCACTTTAACATGTTGGGACTTTTTTTCACTTTCATAGCTGTATTTTTTCTGAATATTGTTGTATTATTGTATGTATACATTCACAGCAAAGTGGTAGTGTCTGTCGTTATGGCTGTTTTTGTAAATCAAAAATGATCTTAATAGGATCATAACATATTTTTCATTTTCAAAAACAAGATGTACAGAATGAATGTATATTTTATATTTACTTCTATCACAGTGATAAGACGAATGGTTTTGTTCTAAAATGATGTAGCCTTGGATTCTGGCCCCAATTGTTACAAAAATGAACAGGGCTTTTATAGACCTGTCAAAAATTCATATTCTAAACTTTAGTTTCTCATAGCCAGGAGAGAAGTTTTCAGAGCCTTTACTGCAGTAAAAGCACTAATATCACTCTGTTAAAGTACTACTTTATTAAACTGTTTGGTAGTTAACTTGTCACATCTTAATTTATAAAGTAACTAACTAGTAACTATAGCTATCAAAGTAAAAAGTATGTGTTATGTGGGCTTTAATCTTATCTGTGATAGTCAGTTATCTGTGATAGTGAGTTATCTGTGATAGTGAGTTAATCAGATTGGGATTGCTGTGGGCGTCAGAAACCTGACTTTATCTCCACAGATGAATCTTGGTTTTCCTAATTTCACTCTGAAGTGTAGTGCGGTAGAAGCAGTCAGATGTGTCATAAAATGAAAAGAGTAAAGTACAGATACCTCAAGCATGTAAAGTACTAGAGTAAATGTACTTTCACTTTATTTTCCACCACTGCTCATTAGATGCGTACTGTGCAGTTAAATCACTTTTTCTACCACATCCTGCGCAGTAACAGGAACTGGAACAACTTATAAAACCACCTGGAAACTTTACAGGAGTTTCGTTCCACAATAAAATTATGTGCAATAGGAGACTTTGGTTAATCATTCTGAAAATGATTTCTTAGCTGTTACACAAGTTAATGACTTGATTTGAGAGCATATGCCAATTAAATAGTAAAAGCTGGAGCAAGTGTAGAGATGTCTGTTAGTCAAGAGGGACACACACAATTACCAGCTGAAGTGCCATGAAATTTGGCCATTAACATTATGGAGTCCAGAATCACATCTTTTAATGTAACCCCTGTACCTGAAAGTTTACCTTTCATACAATTCTTGGATAATGCAACAGGCTGACTGCCATGACATCTACTGAGGTCATCACCGCTCCCCAGAGAAAGATAATTATTTTCATAAATTAACCTGGTCATGCCTAAAGTTGACCTCCTCTGTCCACAGAAATTGTGTTTTAGTATTGTTGTATCTAATTAAACGGGAGCCTCTAATCTTTCAACTGCCTAAAGGAAGCTTTATAAGCAGTTACCATTACAGTAGGCCTGTTTATGACAAATAGTCCTTCAGTATTGTGACAATATTATTCCACAACAGAAATTAATTCAGACTTTAACCCTGAACAACAACACATCATTTGAATTCCAGAGATGAGGTAGGCCTAACTAAAGGTCCTTCATAAGTGGGAAGGGCTGAAGAAAAGACAGACAGATAAGATAAGGGCCAGACAAAGACAGAGGGAGAGAAAGAAAGAAAGACACCTTGACTGCCTTGATTTCCTTCTTCCAGGGATGGAGGAACAGATTGACGCAGAGGGTTTCCAGCAGTTCGGCGGCTTTGATGACAGCAGACAGGAGTTTCCTGTAGTCTGTGCTCGGGGCTCTAGACCCCTCTGTTAGAACCTGGTAGACTGGGAACACTGTGGAAGTCCCTCTAGGTTCTGGTTCCCTAAGCAGATAGTGACCCGCCTTCTTCAGCAGCGAGGCATCGCGGCACGGCCGAACTTCTGTACACAGCTGGTAACAGTTCACATAATCCTCGAAAAGCTCCTGGCGGGATACCTCCGCCTGTTGTCCTGCTCCGACACCGTCCTTCATGACTGTCACACCGACGAACACACAGCTAACCCGGTCAAACTAGAATGAGGAAGTATAGCTGTCAAACATCCTGACGAGGAAGTGAAAGTGAGAGTAGCTCTGCTCGCACTCACACACAAAATAGTATAACGTTTTTGTTTAACACTTGGTATTTATTCAGCATTAAAAGTAAAACTGAGGTTAAACAAATATATGTAAAATAACATTTAGTTTTATCATTTATTTTTGAGTTCGGCCTATGTCACACCGAAATTAACGTTACAATTGGGGTGAATGTAAAAGAACGTTACATCACGCTGTAACATTACAATGCCCTGGTATCTAGTTACATCGTAACTGCTCTTTCAGATGTTTTGTATACATTCATACATGTAGGAACTTGTAGAATGTCAGGATTCCGGTTACAAAAGGTGAAATAAATGCTGAAAAAATATATTTCTTCATTTGTTGAACTGGGAACATAGACTGTATATAAAAAGGCTGGGAACAGCAAAAATAAAAAATAAAAAAAATAAATGAAAGCGTTTAATTTTGAAAGGTCCCACCCGGATGCTTTAATTAGTATTTCCGGGGTCGTGGTTGTCTCGTAGTCACGCTGCCAGTGCCAAAACCAAAACCAAACAGTTGACAGTCACTAACAGACGAATAGGTGGCGTTTAGAGCTATGTGGTGGTGTTTTTCTTGAGGTAAGTAACCAGGTGTAACGATTAAACTGGCCGTCTTTGTTTAATTTAAACTGTTGTGAGTGAGCGTGTTTGGGTTGAGTCCTGTTCCTCATGTTTCCCAGCAGCCATACTTATCAATGATAACTGCAAATAACACACTGGTTCCACAGGGATTCTGTAGGTAGAGTTCCACAGACGACAGGTTGTCACTTCTCCTGTTAAAGTCTGACAAATTTACATCAGCTGGATCCAGCTACTCACACAATCATAACATTGATAATGGAAATGAACCGTACCCCTGCTTCATATATGCAAAAGTGTGTGTGTGTGTGTGTGTCTCACTGCTTTGACAGTGTGTGGAAGAATCCTGCGAGAATAATAATAAGAATGTAAATGTAGGTGGTGTGAACCTTTGATATGAAAGCAGATCAGTGTTTGCTATGAGTATGAAGCAAGGTACACCCTGCCTCTGTGTGTGTGAGAGATTTTGCAGAGATGTCTGACTGCTAATTGACCAGTTGTCTGTCTGTGGGTTTGGTAATGGAGGTTTATGGTTGACCTTGGGGACACATATCATAAATGTTCTCAACTCTCTGTTCACCTACCAGCTTTTTCCAAGTGAGATTGTCACTGTCTGTGAGTTAGTTATGATGATAATAATAATAATAACAACCCCTTCCCCTTTGACTTAATCATTTCATTGATCCCAAAACTGCGGCAATGATAACTTTGATAAAGTTATGTATTTTCATATTTGTATAGAAGAGTTAGTAAAGATGTGATAAGAGCTATGGCATTGTTTTTTCTCAGCATTGAAGGTGGGGTTTGCTATTGTGGAGAAATCCAACACCATGACAAACACAAAGTGATCGAGCGAACAACAATACAGCAGGTCATGTAACTAACGTTAGCTAGGTTGTGGCTACATTTGCTGCCATGACGCTAACAGGAAGTTACGAGACGGTCCCAGAGCCAGCACACCAGCACCAGAGAGCGATACTCACAACTGCTGCTATAGCTAACATCACAACAACAGCATGTCTTGGTGAACCGGAAAGTAAGCTGAATGTCCGTGGGCAAGACATTTGTTACCTGACAAACAAATCGTGGCTGGAACGGCTGGAATAGTGTTGTGTCTTTGATTGCTTCTCATTTACAGAGCCAGGGCTGAGCACACACCAGATTTTGTTTTCAGTGCACAAACAGAAGAGACGGCTAGCGGCCCGTGAGGAAATTTTTGCTGAACTTAACAGAAAGACGTGTATTGAATCGCATACCCCACGTTCAATGTGTTTTTAAGTTATCTCAGCTGAAACTCTGTAGCTGGACCAGTGCTTCTCAGTGTTTTTGAGAAGCAGTGCTTTTAGGCAGATTCTTCTTGTTAAGTGAGTGTAGAGTTCATTTTGTTACATTTCTGATTTTAGTCTTGTTCTGAATGTCTGTCCTGCTGCAGGCTCAGAGAAGCACAGTCATGAAGAATAGAGGTGCAGGTTGGCTGGATGGTCGGCTCAGACAGAGAGTGGAGCAGGTACACGTCGATCTCCTCATTCTTTCACAAAATGGAAATGTTCGTGTAGTCTGAATTCAGTAAAAGCAGTAAATTGACACGTGGTCAGAGACTTGGTCTGAAATTCTGACATCAGTGTCGGCCGTCTTGACTCTGTTTCATGTTGTCATGTGTTTTCAGTATCTGGCGTCCAGCAACAGTGAATATGTGGACCTGTCGGCCTTGGCAGAGGAGCTTCAGAAACTGTACAGGCAAGAGCATCAGAACAGTTATTTGGTCTGACTCAAAGCAAAGGCGGTAACTCTGCTTAATTTTTAAGCTCTGTCCTGCACTCACGTTTGAAGTCAGGAATTCGTCTACTAAATGAACAGACACTTCTATTATAATGTGTGCAAGTATTCCTTTTCTCTCATTATGACACAGTAGAGTCCAACAGCAGCACAGACTACAACCCCCAAAATCATTAAACAGTCACATGAAGATGGGAGTTATTGTAGGGCTGTTAGATTAGACTGCATTTATTTAAACCAAACTGGACACTGAGTGTATATTTATATGTATGTATGTAATGAAGTCATGATGTGTTTGGTTTATATTGTATCTTTAGAATGGAATATGGCAGAAGGAACAAGACAGCTTTCAGGATTCAAGTGGAGAAAGGTAAGAGGTAGACAGTGGGACAGTAGTTTGGTTACCTGTTTATAGGTATAAATTCACACTGGACATGGAAGGGTACGCAGGGCAAGGGTGAAAATGATTACGTTGATTTAGTTTTAGTCATGATAATGGAATAATTGTCATGTGATCACAAGAGAAAAGACCTTGTGTCAAGATAAGTAAATATTCTGTAATTCTGAGAAAACCAAAAGAATTACACACAAAACCTCTTCAGCATCAAGTACCGACCAGTCTATTCCAGTGTTCAGTTCAGTTAAAGTTTCTTTGTATAGTGCCGATTCATAATAGAGGTTACCTTATTGCACATTTCATATAGAGCAGGTCTGGAGGCTGAGAGGGCAGACAGCAGGAAGAAGGAGAACACAGTAGCCCAACACATAGATATATAAATTAATAGTGGTAATACAATATCAATGATTAATAGTAATAATAATTACAGCAGTAGTAGTAATGATAATAATTGGACTAATAATAATAATTGTGGCAGCAGGTGTTGTACATGGGGGTGGCAGGAAGCCTGCAACCACAGATCCAGACCCCACCGCTCCAGAGCCAAAAACGCCTGCAGAAAGAAAAATGACGGGACGGAAGTAGAGTAGTTAGTAACATCCATTAATGGGATAAGACTGCATACAGAGGGAGAGTGAGAGGAGGAGAGAGGAGCTCGGTGCATCATGGAAGCTCTCCTGGCTGCCGAAGCCTATAGCAGCGTAACTAAGGGATGGTTCAGGGCTCACCTGAGCCAGCCCTAACTATAAGCTTTATCAGAGAGGAAATGTTTATGAACAAAGTCTTTTTTTGGAGTATGCACTGTGAGAAATTCTGATTTGTCTTTTCCGTCTACCTCTCCTAGTATATGAAGCAATCATGAAGGAGTCTGGGCTGAACGACCTGGAGAGCAAACACTTGGCTAAGAGAGCCAAGCACAGCCACAATGACACTGGGTAAAGGGCGCACTGTTTTCTGCCTGGCTTGGATTTCACCTTCAGGGCTCTGACCAGTCCCCCTCGCTGTTGTACTCATACTCTCTTTTGAAATATACAACTGATGCTATTCACATCTGTGTGTCCACAGTGATGGTGGCAGCAGCAGCTCAGAAGAGTCCTCCGACAGTGATGACCACATTCTGGAGAACACTGTAAGGAAAGGTTAAATCTGAGGGAATTGTGAGGGATGTTAGAGACGGAATTTTGTTTTTTTATAACTTCCTTTGACCCACAGTTGGCTAAATAAGGATAATCACATATCTAGCATTTAGAGATTGAAAGGGGGATTTAAAAAATTAATAATATTCAAATGTTTGAATCTATGGTAAATGGTCTGTCTCTTACATAGCCCCTTTCTGGTCTTCTGATCAGAAAATGCTTTACTCTACATATCCCATTCACCCCATACAGAAACGGAAACTAATACATTACATGCACATACAAGAACAATTTGAGGTTCATTATCTTGCCACAGGACACTTCAAGATGCAGACTGGAGGAGCCAGGGCTCAAACCGGTATCCGGTTGTAGATCTGCGTCAGAATACACTCAGTGATAGGCCATCAAGCTGATGGAAATATGATTCTGTCTGTAAATATTACAACTTTAAGGATGAATTGTGAAAAGAAATCATTGAGTGTGAGAATCATGGCCACGGAGTCATTGTCATTTTGCTTAAATGCCCTCATATTTTGCGGGGTTGCTTCACGTGTGTCACCCAAAACTGGTTGCATTAGAACAGTGTATTTAAAAGGAGTGCTTTAGCTCAAGAGTAGCTAACAGTGTAGCTCAGCCTTGGTGGTTTCACATACATATTAAAGAATCCTTGAGCAAGACACTGAGCTTCTGACAGTGACTTGAGTGAGAGAGGCTGCCAAATAAATTTTAGTAATATAAAAGAGACCACACCTAGAAGAATTTGGTGAGGAATTACTGGAAAATTGTTGCATTTAAAAAAAACTAAACGAGTGAAAGTCTTTTTTGGGGTGGTCATTCGAATATTTGATTTACATTTGCTGAAGTTTAGATAACTTTATCCTTGCAATACATTTTATTTTCTAAAAAGCAACTTTGTCCAAGAAAGTCTGTTCAGGGAGAACTTAGTGGGCTGAGTCATTGTGATCCAAGGAGTCTGGCGAAAAGATTTTGCTTCTACATTTCACAGTTCAGTGAAGTCAATACATAAAGAGCCATTTAACGTCACCTGGAAATCTTTTAGATTTTGTTGACCTGCAGTGGTTTAAATTTTGTTGCAGTGATGTAGAAGTGCACACCTGGGTGTGTCAGGACACTGTGGTGTCACTGTTGAATGTAGTTACAGGTGGAACAAAGCAACAGACATGAATATTTCAACCAGAAGAGGTCAGTGAAATAAAGCTCCTCAGTTTGGTATTCTGTAACTCTTTTAAAGTGTTTTATAGCCACATTGTGGCACCTTCCACCCAAAAACTCTTCACTAATTTATGTACTAAGGAAGGCAAAACACATCCTGAACCTATCTGTGTACCGGACACAGAGATGAAACTGATATCCCTCTGTCATCTGACTCGGGGTAGATGGCTAACTGGACTGTTACTTAAAATTATCCGCCCCACACTGTCTGACAGGGAGAGCTAACCATTCCTTGCTGCTGCTTTTTGCCATCCACAGCCCACCAACCACATGAACAGCTCTCTAACATCCCTGTACCGAAAGGGACAGCCTGACTCCAGCACCTGCTCACCCAGGAGAGATCAGCCTGCTGCCGGCAGTCCCGCCAGCACGGCCAATCCCCCTCCCAGTGCAGGGACGCTGGTTTCCACAGGAGGCTGGTTCATTGATAGAGGCAGGGGCCCCGAGAAGAGCATCCTCATCGACCTGTGTGAAGAGGAGCCAAGTAATGCAGCAACAAATGTATGTACCAGTGGAGTGTGCGCGTGTGTGTGTGTGTGTGTGTGTGTGTGTGTGGATGCTGACGTAACTAAGTGTGGTGGTGTTATTGCCTTCAGTTCATGTCACCAATAACTTTGCCGCTGTTTCTTCATTTTTATCATCTTGATTTCCTTATTTACACTTCTAAATGGACACAGTTGCAAGTTTTCTTGTCACAAGGGAAGAAAGCTCTGGATGTGGAGTACTGCCTGTTGATGCCACCCATGATACAGATATCAGTAGTTATCAGCAGCAATATTATTATAACAATACAATGTTTTAAGGATAAAAACAAGCCCTTAAACTTGTTTATTGAAGGACTGTGTTCACGATATGATCTGAGCAGGACTTTGTTAACTTGACAAGTTGATGGTGATGTAAGACCAGCAATGCGGCTGTTCCTTCCTGAGTGGTCAGCGTGATTGACAGGTCATTAATCAGCCATTTAGAGACGGCTTCACTGTGCAAGGACCATTACAGCAGAGAGGAAGGAAGGAAGAGGGAGGATGTTTGCATTCACTGGTGAATTTCAGAGTCAATAATAAACAAACTGTGCTCGAGAGGAAGATGTAGTGTAGCACACCAGTCTCTAATGTTGGAATTTGGTGAATGAGTTATTTCTAATTAGCAGTGAATGGGAACTGCTGGAAATACTGAACTTGTTATGAAATTTATGTGGTTGCTGCGTCGAGTGGATTTGATGCAGGTGTTGTAAGCTGGTGTCGTTCCTTATTGGGGCTGATTCTCTGTCAGCGTTTCCGATGGTAATGGTAGTTTGAAACGTGTTGACCTGAAATTGCTGGACTTGCACACCGACTGACTGGCACCTATTTCTGTCACCAGCAGACAGATGTCTCCATGCTGGAGCCTGACAAATCTCACAAAAAGTCCAAAAGAAGGACAAAGAAATCCACTGAAACTACAGAGTCTCGCCCCCTGAACAAGACAGGTACTACCTTTTCTGGTTTGCCAGTCTAACTATAAAATATAGATTACTGAACACAATACAGAAGTGTAATCCTTAGTGAGCCTGTCAAGCGTTACCTGTAGCGCCGCAGCTAACAATAACTTTCATTTTTGCTTAATATTTTATTTATTGAGTTTATTGTGTAAAATGTATTTATTTAGGTTGTTTATTTGATGCGTTCTAAAAAAAAAAAAAAACAGCCCACTATTTTGTATTTTTACTTCTCAGCAAAATCAAAGTCACCGGAGCTGCAGTATCCCACTCTGAAGTTTGAAGATGTAGGAGGGAATGAAGAGACGTTAACGGTAAGTACCTCTTGCCTTGCTACTCTGTTGCTGTACCAAATGTTCTAATATTGGAAAATGGGGACGGCTGCAGTGCCTGGCTGCCAGTCGCAGCGTCCACTAGGAGTCACTAAAGTGTATAAATGAAGAATGTGTGATTGTGTCCTTACATAGTTTTTTCATGCTTTTTTTTTGACATTATTGCAGGAGGTCTGTAAGCTGCTGATCCACATTCGTCACCCTGAGGTGTACCAGCAGCTGGGAATGGTTCCTCCGAGGGGCTTCCTCCTCCACGGACCTCCTGGCTGTGGAAAGACCCTTCTGGCCCAGGCTGTGGCTGGGGTGGGTACTGTTCAGAGCCAGCCAATACGCATATTAAAACCTCAATAGATTCTCTAGTCTTTGATAAAATAACACAGATTCTGTACCAAGTGCCAGGTGGAGAGATGTGCGGCTCATGAACTGAGGATTAATCCTTTACAGTCAGATTTTGGTTCATGCTTATTAAGAGTTTTGTGTTGTTGAAACACTAGTGCTGTCTCTAGGTGCTACTTTCCCAGCTCGGCCTGAGTAAGTGGGATGTCAGTGAAGGTTGTGTGTATTTTGTGCGCTTGTTAAATGTAGTGGTCTGGTTGTGTGTTTCAGGAGCTGCAGCTGCCCATGTTGAAGGTGTCTGCTCCAGAGCTGGTGTCTGGAGTGTCTGGGGAGTCTGAACAGAAGCTCAGAGAGCTGTTTGACCTGGCTGTGGTTAGTAGTGCTTTTTTTTTCTTATATATTATCCAAAGAGAGGTGACAGGAGGCGCTACAGTAGCCACAAGTTATGTACCGTGAAACAGGATAAGGATGCTGATATATGATAAATAATCATGTTGTTCTCTCTGAACATCATTGGTTCTTTTCTCCCCTTGCAGAGCTCTGCCCCATGTATCCTGTTCATAGATGAGATAGATGCCATCACCCCCAAGAGAGAGGTGGCCTCCAAAGACATGGAGAGGAGGATTGTAGCCCAGCTGCTAACCTGCATGGACGGTAGGATACACTGTCTCCAGAGTGATGCGATGTCATCCTTACTGGAACAAGCAGACCGTCATTAATCATCTTTTAATAGATTTTTACTTTAGGCTGCACAATTAATCAAAACTTATCGAATTCACAATATGGCAGATCCCCAACAGAAACCAGACCATATTTATAATTTTTCAATGAAAATGATCATTGCCTCCAATATCGCAAATCATATTGCAATTGCGCTCTCTCTCACACAATTTTGCTTGTTGTTGTTTTTTTTCCCCACAGTGGTTCAGCCCTACCACTTACTGTTGAGTCACTGCAGTGTACAGTGTGTAAAACAGATGCAAGCAGAATGCTATAGGCACCATGAGTTTAAATTTAAAGTGAATGTCAAACACTTAAAGAATAGAGGAAATGAAATGACATTTTTCTGGCGCTTGCCTCCTTCCAGACTTGAACAGTCTGACAGTGAAGCTCAGGTACTGGTCATCGGTGCCACCAACAGGCCAGACTCCCTGGACCCCGCCCTCCGCAGAGCCGGACGCTTCGACAAAGAGATCTGCCTGGGTATCCCCGATGAAGCAGCTCGTCTCAGGTCGGCTGTACACACCATTCGATCACACTAATGATAAATATTGTAGTCTTTGATAATAGATTATTCATGTACTTTTGTCCTACTGGTTTTGGTCAAATCTCCTTATATCATCCCTACATTTTTTTCTTCCCACCTCGTTGTTGATGTGTTTGAAAAGCTACATTGTTCACAGCTACAAATTTGATTTATAGTAGTAGTAATAGTAATAATAATACAATTAGATTTATATAGCTCTTTTCTAAATAATCAAAGACGCTTTACAGGGGGTAAGTAGAAAGTAAAGTACTAAAAGGTACTATGTGTCTGTTGCTGTTGTTAAATCACATCCAAATCATGTTTCCAGTAGATTCGTCCTTTGAACTAAACAGGGATGTGTGCAAATCTATAGGATTTAGGCATTCACTGAATCATCCCAGTCTCTGACTCTCTACTCTGTCAGGATCTTAAAGACATTGTGTCGAAAGCTGAAGCTGCCGGTGGACTTTGACTACCAGCAGCTTGCCCGGCTCACCCCGGGCTATGTGGGCGCAGACCTCATGGCTCTGTGCCGCGAAGCTGCCATGAGCGCTGTAAACCGGGTTCTGCTGGACAGTAGAGGACAGCCCCGGAGCCAAAGCCAGAGCTCCACTGAAGATCTGTTACCAAGCACAGTTCAGTCTGATGGTGCTGCGATAGACGGAGAGGCTGCAGAGCAACAGACAACGATCAACCCAGTACCTCAGAAAGAGTTGGGACAGAAGCACCTGCAGGTATGAGGAGCAACAATCTGCTCACTATTATGCTGTACCTTTGGCAATGGATGACCTCTTGCTCAGTCATAACATAATGTGGTTTTTCCAGAAAGATGCCGGCCGTTAATCAGTTACTGCTTTGTGTTTGACACAATGTTTTACCTGTTCAAAGGAACCTTGGTCATTAGTATTTAAGAATGTGTTTTCCTGCCTGTAAGGCAGCTCTTGGTTTCCATTTCCAGTCATTATGAAAAGCAAACCGCAGAACCTTAGCACCCAGAGATCTGTCTCTGGGGACGTTATGAGAACTCTGCACTCCCCTTCACTGACAAGCCGCTCCTGCAGATTCATCCTCCAAAACATCAGGAGGATGGGTCCGCTCCTCATTCAGGAGGCAGCGCAGGTTCTGGTTCAGGTTCTTGTCATCTCTCGGCTGGTCTGCCTACATGTGTCACCCATCCACTGCAACTCATCCAGAATGCTGCAGCCCAGCTGGTCTTGAACCTACCAAAGTTCTCCAACACTACATCTCTCCTCAGCACTGGCTACCAGTGTCTGCTCAAGTCCAGTTCAAACACTGATACTTGCCTACCACGCTGTGAAAGGTTAAGGCCCATCCTGCATCCAGGGCATGGGCAAACTTTACACCCTGGCCCGTCCACTATACTCTGCTACTGCCAATCGACTGGCTACGTTATGTGCCTTTAGTAGATTTCTTAGCTTTAATCTTAAAATATATATAATAATGTATTTAATCAGTAATTTTAGTTTGAGTCTTCTGTCAAGGTCAGTCAGGGAATACCTGTGGCAAGGATTTACAGTCATTGAAAGGTCCAGTCTGTAAATGTTTGAACATATAAACAGGGCTTTTAATCATTAACCAATTGCCAGTGTTCATTAAGAAAAAGATGAGTGAAAGCCCCCCCCCCCCATACTAAATATGTATGTTATTATTGTATAATGAGAATAAAGAAGGACTTTCTGCAGCGCAAGCTCTGTAGTTAAACCGCATACTGTGCAGTTCTGTTGCCCTGCTGTGTTTCTAAATGTTACTGAACTTTTAATCACATCAGAAAACATTAGTAATGTAATATTAGTTCCTGTCAATTAAGTCTTTCTGTGACAGCACTTTCCAGATTTTTGGTTGGGTGCAAATCACGTTGACTTTCATTTTCCTCTTCCCGGAGTTATCCTGTCTTGTGTGCTGTGTCCAGCAGGGGGAGCTGTGGCAGCTGCTTGACCTGCTGAAGAACACAGAGATGCTGTCAGAGGAAGAGCTGGCAAGCCTGTCCATCCTCATGTCAGACTTCCAGGCCTCTCTGGCCAGTGTCCAGCCCTCAGCCAAGAGGGAGGGCTTCGCCACCGTGCCTGATGTCACCTGGGAGGATGTAGGCGCCCTGCAGGACATCAGGGAGGAGCTCACCATGGCCATACTGGTAAACAGCAAGCCAGACAGAGGAGAAGCTTCATCCTCGGTGCTGGGATAATAACCTTTTCCCCTGAGATGAGCCTTCTTATTTTCACGTCTTTAGTCCTAGAGAGGTGCTCTCACCTGCCTTCACTAACTGTAGACATAGGTGTGGTTCTCCAGGATCTGTAACAGACTTTGATGTGGTGAACCTTGTTAGTGTAACCATGTATTGTGTCGTTCAGTTATTCTATGATGTCTTTGGGACCTGCTGGGAACTGGCCCACATTTGATGTGGTTTGCGGTCACTGTGCTAAATGTTAATAGTGTGTGTGTGTGTGTGTGCTGCAGGCTCCAGTGCGTTCTCCAGAGCAGTTCAAAGCCCTGGGGCTCAGTGCTCCATCTGGTGTGCTGCTCGCTGGTCCTCCAGGATGTGGAAAAACACTGCTGGCCAAGGTTCCCCAACACAATCACACTAGTTAGCTGAGTAACACAGCACTGCCATTTATTTGAACAGTTGTAGTGCAATTTACTGTAAAATGTTTTATAATATCCAGTATTCTGTCTGTCTATTAGCTTAATGATGCATTTTCACAAATTAATTGTAGTCAACATAAATGCCAAACATTTCATTTTTGGCTAACTCGTAATATTCATGAAGATTTCTGTATCATAATAACTGAACTCATCAGCTGTATCTGGTAACCTGCTGGAGACGCTGCAAGGAATAGTTACAGCACGTTTTGAAAAATGCCCATACCTCCTGGACTATCATTGCATGTTTGTCCTGTCAGTGTCCTGTCACTCTCACTCCCTGAGCAGACAGAATCACTTTCCAGGATGAGAAATGTTTTGTTCTTCTGCTTAAAATTGGGGCCAACTAGGTGGAAATGTGATATTTTTCCTGTCTGAGGCATTTGATAAATATTGGCCCAGATGTCACCTGGCTGTCTCCACAAAGAGGGACCGAAGCTGCTCATTGTTTCACTGTGCCTCACTGTGTGTTACTGTGTTTCCTGACAGGCAGTGGCCAATGAGTCAGGCCTCAACTTCATCTCTGTCAAGGGTCCAGAGCTGCTCAACATGGTGAGTCACTGTGCTGCAGGAACTTGTTAATGTAGTGGAGGTTGCCTGTGCATTGTTGTGGAGTAGTACAGCCAACAGAGACTCGCATCTTAAGCTTGAGAGTCTTGTTCAGTCTGTAGCTCTGCTTGTAGCTTGTGTTTCTGTATGTCTTAATGATTTGCACTAAATATTGTAAAAGCTCGTGGAGCAGTAAGTCTTCCACGTTCACCACACCATGAGTCAGAGAGGGCTGATGCTAGAATCAGCTGGTTGCACTAACAGATGAATCTCTGTGTTTGCCTGTGCAGTATGTGGGAGAAAGTGAGCGGGCTGTCAGACAGGTCTTCCAGAGAGGACGCAACTCGGCTCCTTGTGTCATCTTCTTTGATGAGATCGATGCTCTGTGTCCTCGGCGCTCAGGCCATGAGGTGAGAGGGCTGGACTTCCTGTTAAGAGCATCATATGTTCAAAATATCAGATTCTACAGAGCAGCACAGCGGCTGCCTCATGGAGCGCCCGGTCAGTTGACACCAGTAGCACGCATTTCCAAAAACATTGCTGGTGTGGAGGCATAAAAAAAACATTTGGCTGTTTCAGTGTGAGTCACGCACCTCCAGTGTGGTGTTGCCCTCAATCAATTCCAATACACAAACGTGCAATAAATGCTCTTGAAAAAATATAAAGTATGTATTTATGTAGGTGTGTATCAACATGGCCATGAACACCTACAAATGTCATTGTAAGTGGTTATCGCCTTTATTATTTCTCTTCTGTAGAGTGTCTCTCAATGCTGCCTCGCGCGTTTGCTGTATATTAAATAGGCATGTGTAGTAGGGGTATAAATCACTGGGTACACTTGGACAGGATTCTTCCTGTTGGGAATTCTGCTTAAAGGAGACTTATTAAACTGCATTTCCAGTCCTATATTGTAGTTCTGTGACTCCTGTATGGCAGCTTTGCATGATTCAGAGTTAAAACAAAATCATTTTCTGTCTTATACTGGCTCTTCATGTAGGCCTTCATTTCAGCCTCTGTCTGAAACAAGCTGTAGATGCTCCTGTCTCTTTAAGCCCCCCCCAGACGATTTGCTTTCTAGTGGGAGGGGCGGCATCTTTGCCGTTACGGGCTTTCCCCATAGAGTTGTACTGAGGATATGATTGAGTGGAGTGGCTCCTCTATAAAAAGTCTCTGGCTGTGCAGAGCAAATGACCATATATGGAACACCGGCTCTGTGTAACTCCGTGTGTCATAGAACGGAGCCATTGCTAGAAAAAGCAGTTGAAAACTGCAGAACAGGAAGAAATCTGAGGTTTTGGCTCTCAGGGATTTCTTTTAAATACTTTAACCTCATTATTTGAAGCTCTGGCCATGTTTACATGAACATCCAACATTGTAACATTGTAGATAAGGCATAAAATATGGAAAAGCATAAAAGCTCTCCTTTAAGAGAGACTGATTTATTGTTGGGATTTTTTACCATTTGCATAATTTTCCAAAACAGTTTATTCATGGCATCAAATGAGTAAATGTAAATTAAATAAAGTGCTGAATTAATGTGAAACTATTCTTGTACTCCTACAATATTAACATCTGACAGCAGAATAATGTTTGGACATTACACTGCAGACTGTTGCCAAGTCAAACAAAATGTGTTTTTAGATCACATTTCTGACTCTTTGCTTTCACCATGTGATCTACTGCACAGTTAATGTATATGCAGCTGGTTTTTGTTGTGTCCTGGCGACACCTGTGTATGAAGAGTGCTTGTGTGTGTTCAGTCAGGAGCCAGTGTGCGGGTGGTCAACCAGCTGCTCACAGAGATGGACGGCTTAGAGACTCGACGGCAGGTCTTCATCATGGCTGCAACCAACAGACCAGGTACAGATCCAGCTTCAGTCAGGCCTAAAGCCCTCAGGGTAAACAGAGATGCACGCTGAAGCCTGAAGCAGCCTGAGATTAATGTTCAACAGTGGTGGACTTTACTTGAGTATTTTCATTTTATGCTACTTTATATTTTTCATGCTATATTTTTTCCACTAAATTTCACATGGAAATAAAAATATAACTTATTATTATTATTATTGTTGTTATTAAAAGAGATTAAAGATTACACCAGAGGTTCCAAATCTTTTTGGCTGGTGACCTTTAAAAAAGCAGTTACTTGTACATGTCAAATTATCCAATTTATTATCCTTGAAGTAGTTGTATTGAATTGAATCTTATTTATATAGCGCCAGTTCATAAAAAAAAAAAAAAAAAAAAGTGATCTCATTGCACTTTTTATATAGAGTAGGTGTAGACCGTACTTTATTGGTACTTTTAGTAAATTATGGGGTCTAAAAGCTTCTTCCACCGCTTTTCTACCTGTAAAACAATGATTAAAATTCATTACTTGTTGTTCTTCTAAACACTAAATAACTTTCACTCTCTTACCAGATATCATCGACCCTGCCATACTGAGGCCAGGGCGGCTAGATAAAACCTTGTATGTGGGTCTCCCACCTCCAGCAGACCGCCATGCCATCCTACTCACCATTACTAAGGTACATTTTAACCAGAGTTAACAGAGTTTTTGTTTTATTTATTTGGTATAACAGTTTTTTTTTATCATTTAGAAAGAAATTGAAGAAACAAATGCATAAATATACTGTGTACTCCTACACATACCATAGACTTTATATAAATAAATATGCACTTATACGCACATGTAAATATGTGTACATTAATACCTACTTACACACATCTAAACATGTAGATATGTGCTTGTACGTAAAAAAAAATGAAATGATGAAAATAAAATGAAGGGGAAGAAGAAAAAAGAACACATTAAACTGTGTCATCTATTTCATCTATTGTCTTGTAAGTGATTTCTTGTAAGTAATATAATATTAAACATTTCAATTCAAAGCTAATAATATTATGTGATGGTTTACCCAGATAGTGTCTAAAAGTATTCCATAATTGTAATACTTTATTTATTTTCAGTGGTGTGGAAACAATAGACACTCCCTGAACACGACATTGATTTGCCTTTCGTGTTCCAAACAGGTTCTCCAACATTAAATGTCCTGCCCTAGAAATGTCTTATGTGCCAGTCTTTAAAACAACCTTAGGATATTGTTCATCCTCAGATGTTTCTATTTTCCATGGCTGTTTTATTTTTCCCATTCTGCCACTTGTAATATAAAATGTCCTTCCTTTTCCCATTTTACAACTTTAATACATTTCTATGACCTGGATCTGATTTATACCCCAGTAAGAAGACCTTCAAAATGCCTGAGTCCGTTTTATCTAAGTCTTCCTTTTTATTATTATTTTCTCAATGTAATGTCTCAAAACCTTAAAAAAAAGTCCTGCTGTGTTAATTCATGTTGGTTTCCTGAAAGATCCTGAAAGATCCTGAAAGTTTTTTAGTGTTCCTCAAGTTCCTCCAGATGATTTTTAAAATCTATCATCCATCATTTTGGAATTGGTCCAGTAGATTGCCTCTGCAGGTAGCTAGCTACAACGTAATTCTTGGGGTAAATCTGAGAAAGACCTCCTTTTCTCCTCAGGTAACTGATCCCTGAGCAAGATTTCTGACCGTCAGCATCAAGTATGTTCTGTAATCATCTTTAATGTCTTTGTGAGACAGAAAAGGTCTTTTGAGTGACATTCGTAATGTCCAACCACAAACTGTTTCTTCGGCACGTCACCTGGTGGTCCGTTCTGAAACAGTGCGACCATCTTTAAGATCCAGCAAACCTGTGTTCCTGGGAAATGTAAAGGCATAGCTTCTTCACTAGTTCCCCCTGCTAGTCTTTGTGCTAAGCTAGGCTAAGCACGTCTCAGACCATCACAGAGATGCACCCAGATGAAATAGCAGTTGATGTTCTCAAGTGACTCGAGATTCATATGTTGTAGGGGGGAACCAAACCTCAGCTGGAGCAGGATGTCTCTCTGGAAGAGATCGCCTTCGACGAGCGCTGTGATTGCTTCACGTAAGTCCCAGTTGAAAACACCAGCAGTCCTCAGGCACCTGCTGAATATATCCATACTGTTCCCCTTGCTTTTAGTCTGACAAATGAGCTGGCTTTAAACAGCGGCTGAGGTTTTTTCTTAAGCTGCAGTGTCAGTTTTCTTGCTGACTATATGTAGAAGCACTGATCCATAAATCTGATGAATGTTAAAGAATATTCTTAGGGGGCTTAATTGGTGTAACAGTGAAAGGCAGCTTGAAGTCATTAGCTGACCTTACAAGTGTAAGGTTCCAGCTCTAGTTATTTCTCTCATGTAACTGTCCTCGTTAGGGAGACAACAGTTAGACTGATTAGTTAGAGACAGTAGCTCAGGTGTCAGGCTAGCAGGTATCCGTGCGCTCTGGGAATCTGCATTCAGTGTGTTCACATGTTGTGTGCTGGCACTGGATCTCCTCAGCCGGGCTCAGTAAACCATGCTGTGCTATGTCTTCATCAGCCTCTGAAATGTCTTCACACCTGAACCTGACTCACAATAATTCTTCAACAATGAGCAGAATGAAATGTGATCCAGATTAAATCAAATAAGTGTGTTTGTTTGTTTATCCAGTGGAGCTGACCTGACTGCGTTAGTGAGGGAAGCATCTATTAATGCTCTGAGGGCCTACCTGAAGTCTCAGCATTCCCCAGCTTCTTTTTCCGGTAACTCCTACCTCTGCACACATGTAGAGTATTCAGTAGTTAAAGGTGGAACTGTAATATCATATGGGACTGCAAGTAGTGACTGCAAAGATTCTCATGGTTTCACTTTACTGTTGAGTTCTGGCTGCATTCTGTTTGACATGTGGGAGCAGAAATGATGTACATTAGTGCATTAACAGCCTGCTTGGGGTGGGGGGGGGCTTCCATTAAACATATTGCCAGAAATGTTAACCTTCAACTCTGATCTTTATGTTTGATTTTCATGTTATCCTGTTTTTAGCAAGTAGTCAAGACCACTTTCTGTAAGTCTAAAGCAGTTACAAGAGCTGGTCCACGAGTCAAGACTAAAACAACAGCACTTATCCAGTTTTCTTCATCTTATTGTCTTCTTTTTATTCATAGTAAACAGAGGCAATTGTGATATAACGACAATCAGGGCCGTCCTCTGGATTAAGTTTTACATGTGTAACAACTGAGGAAAAAAAAATCTAAAATTAGAAACAAAATATTCCTGCACAATGTCACAAGCTGACTGTGAAAGTCAGACATGTTTGGTTGTTACGTGAACAGAAAAACACGATATAAAATTGTTTTACGGCAACGCAGAACAGTGAATGTGATATTAAAAAATTCTGGGTCTGTTTGGGACTGACTGCAGAGCAACCTCTCCAGTCTGCAACACTGGGCCGCCCAGGCAACTAAACTCTGTAGAGACCACAGTCTAGACAAGTCCCAGATCAAAAAAAGGAAAAAAGACAACCCACTTGAAGACTGCAGACCTTAGAATTTCTTCACAAATTAAGTCATTTTTATCATGGTCTGACTTGTGAAAGTTATGTGCTTTTCTTTTTCTTGTAACTCTGTGTTAGCTAACCATAGGAGCAAAGGCCTCATGTCTTCAACTAATCCAGAATCCTGCAGCCAGACTCCCTAAACTAAAGAGGGATCACAGCACCTACAGTTAGCTTCTTTGCATTGACATCCAGTTGGATTTAGAATAGATGGTGTGTTTCCTCCCTAGATAAGTTGGAACATGACAACTACAGTAACTTTCACTTGACAGAATGCAGCATATACCAAGCAGGAACGTGTCTCATGCTGAGGTGTTACACACAGGTCACACATACTGCTCTGGCTCTGTCACTGACATGAGAGTGAACAAACAGAACTTTGATGATGCCTTCAAGAAAGTCCGTCCATCTGTGTCCAAAAAGGTAAGGGCCTACCTAATGGCCTCAGATTTATTTATCACAAGGTGAATGATCCAAACTTACTGCTCATTTTTATTTTACACTGGCCAGTCTGTGTCAGATAGAGACCTAATCAGAGACTGTGCCGGTATGTGTGTTCCCTGTGCAGGACCAGAGGATGTACGAGCAGCTCAGAGACTCCCTCAGCAGATAAGTTCCATCCCAGAACCACCAACATCACCAGCAACAGTTCAACTTGTACACTGACTTGTTTAATGAATCATTCTGTCATGTATGTATACAGATGTATTATGGTTGAATCTGCTTTTATAATAAAAGTTGTTTGTAGAAACCAAAGACCAACCTGTGCTGCGATAAAACATTTATTTATTGCTCTGCTACCAGGCCTGCCTCTGAACCCGCCCCGAGCTCAGTAAACTCTTTTCCATTTAACCTCTGTTCCTATGCACATGCTCCTGGTAGCTGTCGTGTATATACTCACTGCATTATGCAGCTCCCATGGCTCACTGGGGGGTGGGGGTGGGTCGGTGTGTGAGCTGCAACATTTAATCAATTAGTTGTGAACTATTAATCACCAACTATTTAGATAATGGATTAATCAGTTTGAATAAATATAGGGCTTAAATATTTAAAATATAACTTGTTTGAGTGTTTAACTATCTTTTCCTAATAGTGACAACTAAGAAATGCAGCTCCCTATTTGAAGTTAATTGTGTTCTCCTAATTAAAAAGATAGAACCTCTTGTTCTATCAGTGCTTTTGTTTATCTGATTCTTTTTTTATTTTATTTCAGTTTTGCAGGTTTTCCGGTTGGGAGGCTTGCGTTAGATTCAGTATCATTTCTACTATGTTCAATTTGTACATGTTGCTATGCTTATATAAACAAAAGTAACAGGCATGTGATTGGCAAAGGGCAAAAAAGCAGGAAAATATACTGAGACCCGCAACACCCCGGTAAAACTGCCGGCGTTTAAGACCTGGTGGCCTGACTGTTAAAGAAAGTTACATTATTCAGGAAACTCAGATCAAACAGCCACATCAGTCTCTGTCTATTGATAAACTTAGGAAAAAGTTTTTACATTTCAAGTCTGGCAGCGGGCGGGCGTGTGCGTGAGACGACCACGACCGCGACAGTTTCACAGGATCTCGCAAGTTACACAAGCCGTTTCCATGGTTACCTCGCGGAGCGCTTGTTTGCCTGTCTGTTGATGAGGAGCGCAGAGCGACCCCGCGGGTACAAGAAATTAATTTATAACTTGCTAAAACCTTTAACACAAGAACATAAAGGCTTAAAAAGCAACCATTCATACAGCAAAGTGTATACAGGCTTTATCATCATACCCACTTCATCCAATCCTTATTGTCAACTCAGTGTTGGGCAAGTTACACTAGTTAGTACTCTAGCTATTACCTAGTTACTTAGCATATAGGTTACTCCTTAAAAAAGTAATATTAGTTACTCTGGCCTGCTTATTACTGGGTACTGGGATATAACGCCACTCTCTCCTGATGAGTCCAAGCATCACTGGCAGCAGCGGCCGGAGTTTCTTTCTGAGTTTCATGTTGCTTTAGCTGATGCTTCAATTAGCCTAAGTCACTATAAAATGGTTCGCGGTTAAAAGCTTTTTGCCGGTCGCACACAGTTTACAACGGACGACAATGTTCTTTGCATCTTAGACTGTGACACAATAATGGCAACAACGTAACTTAAAGCTGTCGAAAATACCTCTCTTTTCTCCGTCTTCCTTTTTGGCTAATAGCTGATAAGGTCCGGTGCCGCTGAGCTGCAGCGCGGTCGCGCATTCACGTCAGGGATGGTGCGTTCAGTAGGGCAGCCTTAATGTGATTAGTAACATTACTGTTTTGGAAATAGTAATCTGTCACACTATTCTTTACTGGGGAAACTAATATTACAATATTACTGCCCAACACGTTACGTACTATGCGCGAGAGCGATTGTGGTACACACTGCGCAGGTGTGGAATGGGCGGCTGAACGCAAACGAAAACGATCACATGAAAGCGCCACACAGCTATTAAATGGAAAATGTGGTCCAACTCCCGAAAATGCACCCTTCCCCCAAAATAACACACATTTTGTAATCATTTAGAATTTTCATGTTTTATTTATTCAAATGTTCTACATGTTCTGTAAATTCTTCCAACATTAACATCTATCAGGTGCCTCAAACAGTGGCCGGGGGGCCAGATCATTTCATTAGGTTCCCCACGTTTTGAATTTATTGTCACATCTGGCCAACAAACAAATTGTGTATTTTTGTCATTTTTAAGTATCGTTACTTTTCTTTAACAATGTTATGTTCTATTATTTCACATTTAACAAGCTGCACGTAACTGAGCAACATAACACAGTGGATCAGACCAACAGCACTCTGATTTACTGCAGCCACCTGACATCAAAACGTGTTTCTCACCCAAACAGAGAGGTGGCCAACGGATTCTTTTGCCACGGTGTTTAACGTGACTGCTTCCTGTCGCTGGTGGTAAGGAGGAAGCGGTCATTCTCCAGAGATACAACCTCACTCAGCATCATCATACAAAACAGGCAGAACAGCGTGAGGGAGAGGAGGGCAAAAATGGCTTGTTCAGCCTCAGACTGCACATAGTTATATTTTTTTCCCACCAATTAAAATTCAAGAGTCTTCGAGTGGCCCCCTGGTCAACCACAAAATGGCCCCAGGTAATTTCAGTTTGAGGCTCCTGGTCTAAATATGTCTGTACAGTGCTGCCTGTGCAGCCTAGAGGAAGTCAATTGTTGACAGTTTGTCATTAAAGTGAAAAAAGTGATAAGTGAAATTCAGACCACACACCTGGAAGTGAAAACAGAGGCACTAACACTGAACACACTTTCATCTCACATACAACACAACCTCAAACTGACTGTTCAGTGTTACACTCAGTTTGTTTATAAGCATATACCAGGTTGTATAATATGTTGGCAGTTTAAAAAAAAGGGTCAGAGAGGGATCTTAATAATGAGCAGATTCACTCAGAGTTCAACTGTGGTCAACACCTGGACACACACACACACACACACACACACACACACACACACACACACACACACACACACACACACACACACACACACACACACACACACACACACACACACACACACACACACACACACACACACAGAGAGAGAGAGAGAGAGAGAGACACACACACACACACCCCCCTACCTCACTTCAGAGGACATGACATTACACTTACAGGAAGGCCAGTTCTGACAATTTTGACAGGTGATGCTGCCGACCAAAACCATTCAGGAGTAGATGGTGCAACAATAGTCTGTGTAGGCGTATTTGTAGCTATCTTCATGGCTAATTTCTGGGGCTGGGTGCACACATTGTAGACAGGTCTATAGTTAGGCCTGAAGCAAATTACAACAATCGACTGACTAATGCAAGCTGCTGGTAAGTGGCAAGCAGAGGGTTTACTACAGTAAGGTAGTGAGTAATGAGCAGGAAGAGAACGTTTAGGAACTTGTGAATTTTTCTAGTACAAGGTCTTTGTAAGGCCACGTTTTCATAAGGCACGAGACACACAAATTGAGGTGGGGGGGACTGAAGGTGGTGAAGGTGGTAAGGGCAGAAAGAGAGAGAGAGCATCAAGGTCAAATTAGGGGGAAATGAATGTCTACCACATTTCATTGCAATCCATTAAATACTCTAACAATACATACAGAACAAAAAATTTGTATATTTAAAATTGAAATAAAACTGTTTGTTTGATCGAAGCCAGAGTCTTTGAGCAGCCAGTCTAACAATCTCCAAACAAATATTTTCACTCTAACATCGCTTGGCTCGGTTTTTCTGACTTGGATAACAAATAAATGAAAACATTTTCTCTTTGTGTGGAAAAAAAGCACAAATACACAACCTCCACCCTTACTTTACATGCTATATATATTAGTATGCAGAAGCAGTTAGGTTTATAGGATGGTGGGCCGTGCTGCTGTCATAGCGGACACTGCAGCTTTGTTCCAGAGCAGCTTTTGGGGAAGTTACTCCTGTTTGACTTCTCCCTTCAGCTTCCTCTTGACTCGAGAGTACGGGCTGAGTGTGTCATCCATGATGAAGTCGTACAGGACTTTCACCCACGATGTGTACTGAGGCAGGTCATCATAATACTCTGCAGCTATTTTCTTCACCTGCAAACCAAGAAGATACAAGAAACACTGCTGAGTGCTGCCTCAAGGTGACATTTTAGATTTGAAAGAGCCCTTTATAGTTTACACAGCCTGTGAGGCTGCGTTCAGACTGCAGGTCCAAGTGACCCAAATCAGATTTTTTTAAATGCGACCTCAGTCTGGACTATCAGATTGAAATTCATGTGACTCTGAAGTCCCTCTAGAGCCACTTTGAGTTACGTGCATGCTACTTGTCCAGGCAGAAAAAGTATAGAGAGAGTTGTAGGGCTTATACGTGTTGTACAGCAACAGAAACTGTAATGAAAGCAATGAAAAGGACAAAGTTGTGAACAGTTTGTCATAAGTCGGGATAATTGTGACCCTAGGGGGAAACTGGGAGAGGGCAATGAAAAATGGGAGTCTTCTGTGAAAATTGGGAGGGTTAATTAGCACGCATGTGCTAACCTCTGCGGCCTACATGTTTACTTCCGTACGTCAGCGTGTGACGTTGTATTATTCTTTTGGCAATGCAGGTCACCTTCAGGCCGTGGCCAGTTCACACTGGAGTCTGATATGGGCCCCTTTTAAAATATAATGTGAACAGTCAATCAAAAAAATGGATCTGGATATTAAATCGGAATTGAGCATTAAGGCCTGCAGTGTGAACGGAGTCTAAATGCTTTCACTTTTGCTTCCACACGTGTGAAGCAGCTGGGTTGGGTGCTGCTGGTGTGGGGAGAGCTGATAAAGCCTGTTATTAGCAAATGTAAAAAAAAAAATCTAACTGGTTTTGTAACCCTACTCCTGTAAAACCCTTTTACTTGTATAATTCTTTATCGCCAAATGTATCAATTTTGGTAGAATGTGATTTGTTTTATAGCTTTATATTTCTTTATCAGGGCAGTCACTTCCTAATAATTCAAGGATACTGAAAAGGACTATGTAATGGGGATATGGGACAGTGATCAGCTGGTCCACTTCCAAAGAACTGCTATCAGCTGGGCTGATAATGCAAACACGTGACATCTGTCTACAGGCAAGTAGACAATTCAACATACGGTCTATGGAGAAAAACATTTCCAATAATACATGAATAATGAGCGACTTATTCAACTACTTCACAACTAATCACATTTACCAAATGTATGTACTGTACGTTAGAAAATAATTCCCACTAATAAAACCTCATGCTGTTTCAGTCTTGTGTCTGTGGGAATGAACTAGTCTCTGAGTCTGACCCTTGTTATAGCCTCACACTGGCTGCTAAAGCTCACAGGTCAGTAAACAATTGTTGTTTTATAGTGTGTCTTATCTTCACGGCCCAAGGTTTCACTTTCTGCTCTAATGTAATGTTTGCCAGGCAAACATAAGAAAACATTATTCCAGGTCGTTTTAAATCATGTACCATACTTACCTTTACTGTGCTTTCATCCTGTATTAAGTTTTTGTGACACATTTAGTGACTTGTGTCTGTGAATAATTAGGCATGTTAACCATAGGGCATAGTTGCAGTGATGAGAAATTTTATGTCATTGCTGTATGGCACACTCTGGATCAACGTAGGGCTTGACGATATGGCCAAAAATGTTATCACGATAAAAGATTTCATATCATTTGATATCAATAATTATCACGATAAATGTTAAATCATCATTTCTTTCAAGTTCAAAGTCTGATTTTTGCTCCTGAGTGAAAATTGAAGGAACTTTGGTTTTAAACTTTTCTTTATGGTCATAACATGACAAACACTAAATGACACTAAACAGTGGATCACTTAAAGAGGTGGTATTCTGCTTTTTGGCTTTTTCCCTCTCCTTTATTGAGTTATATCTCTTTTTTGTGCATGTAACAGGTTTGCAAAGTGAAAAAGCCCAAAGGGAGTTCCCATCTCCCACAGAAAACTCTGCTCTGCACCGCTTGAAAACAGCTGGTTTGTAGTCCAGCCCTTTACTTCCTTTACTTGTGATGTCATAATGAAAACGCGTCATAAAGCTTGCCAAGCGGCTAGCGGGGTCAGGCACGCCCTCAAACCAAGCTAGTCTGAGCGGAGGCCCTTTGGCTCGACTCGCCTTTGTTTGGGTTTCCATTGTAGAAATTTTGCATCTGTATCTGCTTCCAGGTACTTTTTTTTCATATCACCTCACCTCTGCAGGGGAAGCCTGCTGTGATCCGCGGGAGGAGCGTGTGAGGCCGGCCAGCCGCCCGCTCACAGAGCCCTCTGCTCCCGCCGTCACACAGACCGCTGCAGCAACAACGGCAGAGGAAAACACAGCTGGAAGCTTTTCATACCGCTTATCTGTCTTTACATTCTGAGGAATGTTGAAACGTTTTAACTTAAAAAACAGAAAGCTGTGTGGATCGCTGGTGTGTGTCGCATTGAATATTACGTCACGGCAGTTGTGTGCGATGTCGCTATGACAACAAGCTACGTACTATCTCTGGGTACTGTCTGCAATGGAAAACGGAGCAGGGCCGAGCAGAGTCAGTCTATCGATTTTTCACTATGGTAGCATTTTTCAGCAAGGCAGCAAAGATCGTCAGAACACCGGCAACAGTTCAGCGTTTAGTCCTGATGGTAAGATGTGGAACAATGATGATGTGGACTTGTGGGTAACTTACACCATCTGCTAGGTTACGGTCTCAGTCTGAAGCGGCTTTGATTTGGATCACACTACCTTGTTTCTTACGACCCGCCCTTCTCTGCTTCTGATTGGCTAGTAGTCCTTACCTGGGAACTGCACATGTGCAACTCCCAACAAAGATTTTGTACAAGTAAGATGCATCACTCTGTAGCTCAAGAGCGGAGCGTCCAACACACAGGGTGAAAAGAGGAGCTGCAGCAATGTGCAGTATGAGAAAGATATGGTGTTTTTTGAAAATGTATCACGATATTTTCCGTAGCAATACTGTATCGATACACGGACGGCAATTTATTATATAAATTGTACATGCGAATTTTACTTTTTGGTACTTTAATAATAAAAATACTTTTTCAGTCCACTAGAAAAATAAGTTTTCCTCTGGAAACACAATCTGAAGTTGGAAAAAAGGTAATAAATTTCAATACATCACAATATGTTTAAAATAGCAATAATATCGTATCATGATAATATCATATTGTGGGACCTCTGGTGATTCCCACCCCTAAAGCTTAGCATGCAATGTTAACATTAATCTCAGCCAAGGCTGCAGAGAACGGTAGACTGCAAGCGGGTTACTATTTCATTACTAATCTACATGCACCCTGCTACCATTTATCCCTTTTTGGTTAGATGCTGAACTGCAGTTTGCTATATTGGTGCTTAATCTGTGAAATGGCTAAATTGAATCTAATCTAATAATCAGTGGAGTGTACCTTTACAGTCCTACAGAACCAGATTATAAGAACCTAGTACTGTTCACAACACTTATCTACAACAAAAAGAGCAAAAAGGAAAATGGACCCACTATGTGAAATCAGAACCTAACATCCTTATGAGTTGTCTTGCTTTTAATGCAGTGTCATGAACTTTGCATACTGTGAACATTCCTAACTAATGATTAACTAACTTCACTATCCAAACTGGTTTGATAAGTTAACCCAAAGAGGTATTCAAGAGATAAGTCAAAAATTAGGATATAGTATGACCACTATATTATACCATGAGACAGTGAGATCATTCAACAGTTGTAGAGTGAAAATCAAAAGCCACCATTCTCACCCAGTAACGTGGTTGCAGATCCCGTGTTTGTCAGGGGATTTAATTAAGCTGCCTTTTTAGACAGATTTGTCTACACCCAAATTATTTCTTCCTTTCTATCCTCATGGAAACGCGGCAGACAGTGCGCCTGATTGAAACAAATTATCTCCACAGATCAGTACTAACCATGGGCAGCCTGCATCCTGGGATGCTGGGAAAGTCGTGGTGCTCGTTGTGGTAGCCCACGTTGAAGGTGAGCAGGTTGAGGGAGCCGTAGTAGGAGTAGGTCTCGTGGCCCTTGAGGAACATGTAGTGCTCAGCTATGAAGTGACCAGAGATGGGGTGCAAGCCCATCCCCAGCATGGAGCCAGCAAGCATGTAGACCACAGGCTTGGCCCCCCACAGCCAGTAGAGCAGGATGTCAAAGGTGAGCTGGACAGCCACGTTGGCCAACTCCAGCTGAGTGATGGGTTTGGGGTTGATGCAGAGAGGCCGGATGGCATAGAACAGCGGCTGCAGAATAATCCAGATGAACTTCCGGAAGCGTGTACAGAAGAACCAGCCTTCGAACTCAGTGGGGATGTCTACATCTACACCGTCTCCGCCCAGGTAGCGGTGATGGTCCAGGTGATAGCGTTTGAAGGAGGCAGAGTAGGGCAGGCCGATCGGTAGGTTGGCAAACATGGCAAAGTAGCGGTTCCACATGGCCTTGTTGTTTCCAAAGGCCGTGTTGTGGGAGATCTCGTGAATAGCAAGGGTCATTGAGTGGTTGATACAGCTGCCAAAGGCATAAGTCCAAAACAAAACCCATTTCCAGTCCAAGTCTTTAACCAGGTAGAAAGCTAAAAACTGTATTACCACCATCATGCACACAATCCATTTCAGCCTCTGGTCAGGACCCATCAACGACTTGATTTCAGGGTATTTGGCTGCAGGAGAAAAACATGAGACTTAAGTTCAATTCATTGAAGATTCATGTAACTTTGTATCTGATTTCACATGGTAACAAACATTTAAATGAAGGAAGTCTAAGGTTTCCATTCAAAAATGTCAATGTAAAAGGCCAGAAAAGTCTAATAGATCTGCATTATTTAGATTCAGAGAATGTATGCAATATACTGTGATGAAGCATTTCAATGTTCACCTTGTAAAATGTATTTTCACCATTCTGTGAGAAGTCAGAATGCACCAGCAAAGAGAACCTACAGTGTATGCAGTGGCACAAAGTAACCATACACAAGTAGTCTATGTAACCACATTCTCATGTTCTAGCACGTCCGTTGAACACCATCAAAGGTTGTACTTCTGTTTCACAATATTTCAGGAAGGTTTACGTGTGTGCAGTTACTAGGTTTCTACATGCAAAACATTCAAAAATCTGGTCAGAATGTCACCAATTTAGGAATGCACAACTCTACACACCAAATCTGGAGTGCTTCCTTTCAGTCCTGACATGGAAACTCCTTTGTTAAGCCTGTAGTTACTTGATTTTTGTTAAGACAGTGTCACAGAGGTGCATTATACTGCGAGGTGTAAACCCACATTTTGTGCAGGAGTTGACCCAAACAACAGAGCATCTTACAACACACAACCTGACATATATTAGTTTCACTTTGCAATTTAAATTGGCAAGAGAACTCCAAGCTTATAGGATATATAAGATATTCTATCTTTTGTTAAGGGAATTTTACACTGTGTGAAAAAATAATAAATAAACTGTTGGATATCGCTTAAGAATAAAAGTTGGTAAACATTTTGCTAGTTGATATTTGTATGACCTTTGTGTTCTTAGATGATCTTTTATGGTGAAGTAATAGTTGACTTATCACACATTTTCTGTCAGTGATTATCATATGTTCGTACGCCTGTATGTATTGATGTGTTACAGGCCATTCTTATCTTTTTATTTATAACAATTCATTTAGGATTTATAATAAAGATTTCTCTATATAACTGACAACAACTTTGTTAGAGTTTTAATGTTTCAATATGACAGTTTGGTAGTCCACATGATGGCTCACGTAACTGGATCAGTCTTGATTCTTCAAATACCAGAATCCTGTCAATCATCTCCAGCAGTAACAGCCATGTTTAATCTCTTCCCCATTGCAAAACATTGCTGTTGCAATCTTTTGTTCTCACATACAAATCAAACCGAGCAAGCTGTGAGCTGGCGTGTTTGTCTGATGACGCACGTCAGAGTGGTCGGAGACCCAACTGCGAAGCTGGGAGTTCAGATGACTTCCCACATCCTGGACCTTCACTATACCATCACTCTTTTGTCATTTGTCAAATACAGAAATCGTCCTACTTTAAACTACATGCCTGCTGTATTACTGGTTTTGACATTTTAATAATGCAAAGCCACTTACAGCAGGTATATATACCAGGATCAAAAAGTACCAACTGTCCCTGGCTCCAAACTGACATTCAGAGGAAACTAAGCAGTTGCTCTAAATCATCAACAACAATAGACATCCCATTTTTTGTCAGAGACCGAATCTTAAAGTCACCATATCTAAGAATGTGAAGCAGTTTACACGTTTGAATCTTTGATTGTAACTTTCTCTGTTGCCTGTTTACATTTACATATTTAGCTGATGCTTTTATCCAAAGCGACTTACAATTGCTATTCATGTCAGAGGTCGCACGCCTCTGGAGCAACTAGGGGTTAAGTGTCTTGCTCAGGGACACAATGGTGGATGGGTCACAGTGGGGGATTGAACCTGGGTCTCTCACACCATTGCGCCATCACCACCCCAGCCTGTGGACTGATTTCTCTGTAAAGGACTTGGGACTAATTTTTCTAGGGATTTTGCCGGATCAATGCAGCGTGGCTGGGTTGTAGCTGGCTGGTTAACCTTAGTTTGCTTGCTCAGCAACATTATCGCTAACAAAAGACGACGAAGCAACTCGGTGCAAGCTAGATGAGTTTAGCTCATACCCTGGTTCTCGTCCCTCTCTTCCTGTGAGCATCGCTATCTAGAGCTGCTGTGCTGTGCTGGCTCTGGGAACATCTTGTCCTCTCTGCTTGTTAGCTTCACAGCAGTCCCTTTAGCAACAGTTTAGCTTAGCTAAAGTTGGGTACGTTATTCGCTCTATATCATGGTACCCTACCTTAAACTGTAAACACAGGAAAGAAAACCATTTAAATCAGACCTAGAATATGGATCACCAGAATGTCTTTCTCACTGGCCTCTCAGGGCTTCCATAAACTATACATTAAACTACAATATGAAATAAAAATGTGCTGGATTAAGCTAAGATTAACTTATTTTCATATGCAGCCCTTTGGCAGAATGTCTTAATACTTGCAAAGACCATGAATGGCTGGTGAAAGGTATTCTGGGGCCCAGGGGAAACCAGTTAGACCTTCATTTACAGTAAGTCAATGTCAAGCTGTGCAAACAGTCAGGTGTTGATAAGGCATTTGATATGTTTAACAACACGGTGAACATGGCCACATTACTGACATTCAGACTGGACCAAAGTTAGCCTATGATTAAAGTGAAGCTGAAGGAGAAGCGGGGGGACTCACACAGCTCTTTTTGAAATTATGAACTCCTCTACTCTGACTGAATGTGTGTGAATGGTGAATGCAGATGTAGTGGTCGAAAAGACTAGAAAGGCGCTATACAGACTGCCCATCACTGATTCCCCGTAGGAATCTATCACAAAGACGCTAAAATGGAAGAAAACCTGCATAACCTGAAGCTACTGGGACATATATTTTTTATGCTGCCAATAAATATATGTGAAAATGAAGAAGCATTGTTTTAGTCCCAGCAATTGGTCTATCTATAAATAGAAGACGTGCACATGTTGTTTTCTATATGTCAAAACAGACATTTATGATTTCTGTAAGAACGACTGCCTACTCTCAGTCCTTCCTCGATTTTCTGTTTTTATCTTATTTGAGGTTCTTGTATTAAAACCACCTCCATCAACTATGAATGCATGTCCAGGGCAACATACTCAGATGGGTCCACCTTGTGCTTCTCTATAGACCAAATGTTTAGACAAATTTGTTTTACTTTATAACTCATTCTGATGAGATTTAGATTATTGGTGATTTTAATATTCAGCTGTAGTAAAGCCTCTCTGGCTCTCTGGGGGGAATCGAGGCTCTAAGGACAGAGGGTGTCACATGCTGTAGAGATTGTAAAGTCCTTTGAGGCAAATGTGTGGTTTGTGATATTGATTATATGATAATTGAATTTAAAATATGTGGTGCCGGTGGTGTGTTCCTGTGCTACAAAATGTTTTCGTCTGTAATTACAACCTTGGTGTCATTAGATGTAATGACAAGGTTAGTAAGGAATGTTTCCCTGGCCCAATTAACAAAAGGTATGTTGCAGGAGCACTCTGTTAGGACCAAATATTTAACTCTTCCTATATCCTTAGTATATATAATATATTCAATATAGTAACATTGCTGCACTGCATCTTTAAGCACGACAAAAAGGTTGAATATCTTGTAAACAGTTTGATTCTACTGACAAAATATTATTTACACAAAAGCAGATTATTAAGATCTCCTGTTTTGAAGCTTTTAAAAACAGATAATAGTTAAATGTAATAAAACCACCTGACTCCCTTGAATTCTATTTGAAGTAACCCCCCCAGCCGGCCCGTCACTTTTACTAGGCACTTTATCGTATCACTTTGTTAATGCAATGATGCCACCTCTGCTGGCGCGCAGCTTGTTGCCGAGGACACTGCATCAAGCATACAAAGAGCTTAACTGGTTTAATTTAGCTTAGCTTAACTTGGTTTATCAAGTAACAGTACAAAAGGCCAAGTATAATACAATGAAACATAATGCTGAATAATAATTATAATCTCTGTCCATGATTAAAAAAAGAAACTCAAGCAACACTAGGCTTTAGCTGCTCAGCCACTTCACTTGAGATGCAAAGAACAAACAAAGGCCTCCAGGCTACATGTATGTGATCCAACTGCCTAAGAACTGGGAGGGTACAGGAGAAACACAAGTCTCAGCGAGTACTGAATCCTGTAATTGTATTTACAGCTTCTGGCTGAGGAACCTAAGAATTTTGTTTATGTTTCTAAGTTTTGTCCACTTGTGATTGGATCACCCAACATTCAGAGTTAAAGCCGGGTGTGAATAGTAGCGCAAATTTTATTTTCACTTACAAAACAAGATAATCAAGATAAAATGATTATTGTGCTGCATTTCGTTTTGCAATGATGTTCCGGTTTTGTCTGTTTTATAAATCCAGCACACCCCTATCCTTCACAGCGACGGCTCCCTTCCCTCCCTACAAAGCCCAAACTCCCTCTCAGCCGGGCTTTGGCAAGTTCAGCTTGTGTTTGGGGTTTTAATTGCTCTAACTTGCTAGTCAACATTATTATCTTGAGTCTACGGCACTTCACACTGCATAACTAATGCTAGCAGACTTTTCCTCTGTACATATGTTAATATATTATGCACTGATGGTTTAAGTTACTCCATCTCCCAACAAAACACCACGGCTGAATTTCAGTGTTATGTAACGAGCTGTACTCAATGCGGAAAAAAAAAAAAAAAAAAAAAAAAATAGGACCTCTTTAATATTCCTTATTTCGTGGGCTATTTGGGATTTTTGGGGTAAGGCATGTATAATAATTTCTTTAAATCAATCATTGCATTTTAGAAGTTGAATAAATTTCCTAAGCCACTGAGTGACTGTGCTAAATTATCGTGATTATGATTTTTGCCATCATCGAGCAGCCCTACAAGGCCAAAGAATTTGTTACCAACTTTCACTAGGTTTCATTCCCAGCATTAATTACAAAAATAGTCTAGACGTGCTCTAAATGAAAAGTGCAGTGAGAGAACTTCTGTTATGAATTGATGCTTGATGAATAAAATAGAACTGAAAAGATTTTTTTTTGCTGCTCTTCAAATGTTTGCTACTTTCTGGAAACATATTCACAGCAAGTCTGGTAATCTGTAGAGTAGCAGTGCCTGAGAGTCCCCTGACCCTGCTGCATTCAGTGTGTAACGTTACTCACATAAATAATTCAGCCCAGGAGACAGCTCTGCTGTCAATGAGCATCTTTATGCTTGGCTCTGGGCTCTCTCTCAACACAATGGCAGTACTTTGTGTTGACTAATTAACTTAAGTGTGTGTTATGTTAACAGTGAACAGACATTAGAGCTAGATGTGCAGAAAACGTATATCCTCAATCATCCATAACTGGTCCCAGGGGACTGAGGCAGACCACCTGACTTTCCCCTCAAATTCAGTTCTGTGAATCCTTCACAGAGACTTCAGTCTAAATGTTTCAATCTCAGTTCAACTGCCCAAGTCTTTTTTTATTCTTTGATAATGTTCAAACAACAACAGCTTACAGTGATGTCTAGTTGAGAGCCCAAGGTTTGCAAAGAAAGCAACGCTGAATTTTACAGTTGCAGTTATAACGTTACACTTTGAAGCTGCAACTTAAGGCACGTTTAATCAAAACATTTTCAAAGACTTGTGTTAGCCTAGTCCCCCGTTACGCTCCTTGTATTTGTGGCAGTATCTAAACCGTTACAGCGGCTTTACTGTAAGTTGGGTCATTTCAGGGAGTGCCCAGATGACTAAATAACGCCTCTGTGGCTTTAACGTTCCATTGCTGCGGATAATATATTATTTTAAGCTAAACAACCTAAGCTGCAACTAGCTTGTACGCTAACTATCTAGCTTTTAATAACCTCCACGGCGATGATTGCCAGTGATTAAACAGGCGTATAAGAGCCCCTAGTTTTAAACCTAACTTAAACTGCGTGGGTTAGCTATACCACCATCACAAACCAACGGCGGAAAGGGAACCGTTAGCTTAGGTGCGTTAGCAAACCGAGTCAGCTACCTGGTGGTAGTTACGTTATCCATGCACCATTACACATTTAAGTAACCTTAGTAAACATTAGACACAACCACCCAGCTGAGTTAACGTTACATGTAAGTAAAGTTTACAATACGTTTATTCAAAATTTGCAAACGGATAACTTAAGCTAGCTCACCCAAGATCTCTTTTCTCCTGTCGGCATGCGGCTGGTCCGTATACACCCATTCGTAGTCTTCACGGGCGACCCGGTTCCCCATTGTTTTCGATTAATGTTAATGTTCTAAACAACTTTTTTAGACAAACAAGTATCTAAATCTAACAATGTAGTTTTAAAACTACTTTTCCTTTCCTCGCTCCTCAGACTATGACCTGCCCCAACATCAGTCAGCTGAGCTCTGCCCATTATCTGCAGCTCCTCCTACAGCGGGCCAGCGCCGACTAACCGATAGAGGGCGACATGGCGCCGCCCTCCTACAAAACATAATACATTATCATACATGTATATATCCTCATGCTTTCCTCATACGTAACCTGGTGCATTCATTCTCTCCTTGAGTGGTCCTTTTTATATACGGACTATGGAGTGGTCCCGTCTACCGAGTTGGAAAGTTGTTCTTCTGACTTTGGTGTGCTCACGAGCTGTGGAAGCATCATGGAGGACGCCCCAAAGAAGATGCGTTTTATTTCTCAGTACTGGCTTGCACCAGCTGTTTGTAAGGTCTCTCTTAAATTAAAGGTTGACAACAGAGGCTCAGTAACTAACTACTTGTTAGTTTGTAATCAAATCACAAATGCGCTTGTAGGAGAATGGTCAAAAATTCCCATGAACACACTCCTAAGCCTTGTGAACAGCCTTCCCAGAATAGCTGAAGCTGTTGTAGCAGCAAAGGATGGGCCAACTCCATACTACACCCTACCGGTGAAGTGTGGAGTGTTAGTAACCCTGTGTGCATCTAAAGGCAGGCGACCCAAAACTTTTGGTAATATAGTGCATTTTAAACCCAAACCATAACAATTCCTTAATCTATGTAAATATTGTACATATCCACACTCATTTATATTTTCTTTTATTATTATTTTTACTACTTCTCTATATACCACTATCTTTATTTATATTCCTTTTACCGTTTGTGCAATGTGTGCAACTGTGACACAGAATTTCCCCTCAGGGATCAATAAAGTATTTCTGAAATCAAAGGCTTAATAACACATGTTGCACTTTGGTTAGGCTTTGCTTGGACACACTGCTGAGATACTTAAGTACGTTTGCTTGATTTTTGTTATGGCAGCCCCCCTTGGAGGAAAATGCCCCAGCCGCTGCCGATTGTTAGGCTATACACCATTGCAGTTACCCCTTTTAAACCAATAAGAGCTGAATCAGAATCACTTTATTACTGTACTGGAGTACTGCTTTTTGTAGCGCTTTAATTGTACAATATAATTACTTCTACTATTCTACCGCCCTCTCACTGTGTAAACTCTTACATCCATCATTTTGGACCGGTGAATATTTCAGTCATTTTAAATTCTATGTCATGAGAAATACCTGAATGCAACCAGCTCCCTGACAACAGCTGATGTCTGTGGCTGGTGAGGGGCACGCCATAAATGTGTTAACACTGTAAGGTCAACCAACTTTACCAAAGTCCAAAATATTATTTCTTTTTTGATTAGGGATGCAGAACATTGCCTGTAAAAACAGAGATCGTAATGGGTGTAAATAAAAGACGCATCAGTTAGATTGAGCTTTAATGTTTGATTTGTACATTTGTAACAGTAATTTGTGCAACAAAACCGTACAGTTAGCCCCAAGCTGGCTAACTCAAAAGATAGTTTTCTTGGGATACATACATGAAATAATTCACAATCTACACTTTAAAGTACATAAAGATTACAGTACAATTTTCTAAACTGAGACGCAGTCTCAAATTAAGCCACTAGATTACATCTTCTTGTGTTTTTTTGCCCAGTGTCATTATAATACACGCTAGGGTTCACCAAGATGTGAACTGCATTTCCAAAGTTTCTTTACCAGAAGTTCATGCCATGAGTGGTTCAGGTCATCCAATGAACAGAAAAGCTTAAAAAAAAAAAAAAAAAAAAAAAACAGAAGTGCAGCCACAATATGGGCTCACAGTTAACGTAGCCTCACAAGGCAAGAGACAAGTTTGTACAGGAGAGGGGAGGAGTACTGCTGCACAGGGGAGCTAAGACAACGCTTTTTAAACAACCGCTAAGGAAACTAATGTTACTCTGAGCCATTCTGTTTATATACTTTTCCAGCTCCCCTTTACTGTCACTGCAAACCAGTCATACGTTCTGGTAGTTCCCTTATACTAATTGCAACAGGCTGCTTATAAACTTAAAGTTGGTGTTATAACAGAAAAATTGAAAAACTTTTTTTTTTTTTTTTTTAAAGGACATTTAAAGGGTCAAAAGAATATTTTCTTACTTCCTTCTGGTGGCATCCATCCATGCAGTTAGGCTCAATTCCATTCACTTTCCTTGTTGAAGAAAAAACAAAACAATCTGCATGGCACAGAGAAGTGAAAAAATACATCATTTGTGCGAAAAGACCCTTTAAATGTCTTAACGTATACAATATACTTGGGGTTTTTTTTCATTTTTACATCATTTCTACTTTGACTTTTGAGGACCACACAATTGTTTTCCTGTTTCCACCCATTTACAACAATTCATCAGCCTGGGAAACACTAACTTAAAACCATATTTCATCTTCATCAAGTCTTCATCAGCAGATGAGTTTGCTCAGTTTTCATGTCATGTGGGTAAAATAGTCAGAAGAAGCTAGCAGGTGACTTAGGGTTAAAATATTTTTTACAAAGTATTGACTATATCACAGGTTAGGGTTAAGGTCAAGTGCACCTTGAGTTAATATTTGTGAGACTCAAGAACAATGATTTTAACTAGGAATTGTTGGTATAAACTGAAGCATGATTGTGTAACTGAATGATATATTCCTCTGCTTTTGATAAATTAATTCTGGCAGAGAGAAGAGAAATTTGAAGATGTTTTCAGGAACAGCTGTTATGTTCTTTCATAATCTGAAAATCAAGTCACGACGTTCCTGTAGTGAAATGAATGGAAATCGGTGATTGTCCCAAAAGTAGAAATAACATATTCAGAAAAATGTAACACACTTTCTGTACTCTGTATAATGTTCAGCTGTAGGGAGCTGTACATCATTGTTGTAAATAGGCTGAAATATGTAAAAACACTGTATGACCCTCAAAGGACAGATGCCAAATACTGCTTTCCCATTGGAGAGCAGTTATATCGTTTCTTTGTCCTCCTTAGCACAGCACATACAGTACATCTCATGTAAAAAGAGATCAGGTGCTTTCAGGCACACCAGAGCGAAAAATGGTCTACTCTTGCAGGAAACCTTTTAAAGAAATTATTTTCACACACCAGAGCCGTGGATTTCATTGTCACTGCTGCATTTCTGAAGATCAGAAGACAATGATATCCGTAAGGGGCTGCTGAGGCACAGTGGAAAGGAAAATCCCTTCACAAATAACATCTACTTCCATGTTCCACCATCTGCCAGGCAGGGAAGGCAAGAGTCAACAGGTAACAGGCTGACTCATGCTGAACACTGCCTTTTTCCTTCTTTAAGACCCAATCCTTCCTTTTTACGGGGATTCAAGAACTGATCAGACAGACTTACCTGAGCAGCAATTTTGGATAGACACTATCAGTACTGGCAAGGAATATAAATTACTTATTACTTTAGATGTTTTATATTGCACTTAGCCGAAGTTAGGAAGAAGCAACTGTGAAGGAAATGAATGCTTGTGGATTTAGACTTCCTACCCATTGGACAATGGACAGGAGATCAATGATTACCAGTAACATTCAACTTCAGTTAGATTAGATTATACTAACTTGCAATTTAAGGCCTGTCATGACTGTATTTTTACAGTTTAGTTGTGTATGTTTCCGATATACAATCTCATGGTTATTTTATTTTAGAAACAGGAACTACATGAACTCACCACTTGTACAATTTACATCTGAATTTCTGTTTTGTCAAATCCAATTTTTTGCAAACACATGAGCCTCTTAGAAAAGCATCTACATTAAAAAGCTGTACAGTAATTTGAATGTGACCTTCCATAAATAGTCTTCTTAGATGCCGATGGCCAACCACCTGCCTATATTCTGATTTAGTTAAGTAGTTAAGAAGCCTTGTAAGGATAATTCTGGTGATATTCTATATTTTTTTCCAGTCAACTAATCCCATGTATGAAGCCAAACCAACAATGACTGTATCCACTAACAAAGTACTGTTTGTGGCTCACAGCCCGATATCACTTCCTCCTCTGAGCCATAGAGCTCCATTGTTGTACAGTAACTTTTAAAAACCCCTCAGTGAGCCACAATGTTCCTCCATCACCATGAATACACACACACACACTGTGGTTTATATAGACTCAGTCCCACATACACCGTCCTGCTGCCCCAAATACTCTACTAGAGCACCACACGTAGATTCATCCGCCTTGCTTGATAAAAAGTATCCAAAGTGTCCATCTGTTTTAGGAAATTATGGAGCCTTTTTAAAAAGTAAATATCAGGGTAGGGGAGTCAGAAAGTATGGACCGATGGACTTTGTTGGTTTGGGTGTTTTCATGGGATTTGTTGAAAAGAGAACACTGGTGAAGCATACATGGATAGTCCCGACTCATCTCGCAGACAGTACAGGTGAGTGTGGGTGGGGTGGGGGGTGACGCGGGAATTGGGGATAAGGTGTGATCAGTCAGACCTCGAAACCTAAAACAAAACTCGACCAACTAAATGACACACCGAGTCTCTTATTTCTTGCTGCGCAGCCGTTTGGACTGTCGTGGAAGGTCTGAGCTCTTTCTGGTGCGTTTGAGTGATGACCCTCCCTCGCCCTCTGGCTCTCTAGGTAGAGAGGCCGCGGCAACACTGCCACTTGCCAACACAGTACCAGACGAGCTGGCGACGGTGGAAGACACTGCAGCGCCACTGGATGTGGAGGGGACAGCTGTGCTGGGCCTGGGTCCTCCCATAGCAGCGGCACTGCTGTCCATCAGTTCGCGGAGCTTGTGTTCCAGCTCGGCAAGGCGGGCGTTCTGCTCACCGATCACCTGGGTCTGTTCCAGCAGCTTCTGCTCCTGGTCCTGCAGCTGCTTCTGCTGCTCCAGCTGCTTGACACGGATTTCCTGCATCTCCCGCCGCAGTACTGTCATTGACGCCCCGTTCACCTTTACCTGCTGCTGTACCTTGGTCATCTCAGAGCGCGACGGCGTGTTCTTAGCCAGCAGGGACATGGTGGTCAGGGAGGTAGATGGACCTGCCACTGAGGGAACAGGATAGAGGGTCAGAGGTCTTCAGGATTTTACTGCTGCACTTAAAAACACCACAAAAAGAAGCAATCCTGCATGGCAAAAGTAAGAATGCAGCAGGACAGGGCCTTTTCTACTAGCGCTCCCCTTAACAGTTCTTTAATATTAGCAATGGTTAAGCATGAGGTATCTGTCTGATTATAGATTTGCCAAGTGGAAGGAATTATTTTAGGTGTCCAGCGCTCTGGAAGTAAAAGTCCAGTTCACTGT